TATCACACATTACCGTCGCCGTCGACATGTCGCCGAGATGGCCAACCGCACCCTGGCAGAGCAGCCGAGCGACCAGAACGCATCGGACGTCCACCACTTCGCGGTTGTGCACTTCACTGTCGAGCGCGTCGGCCCCGCCACTACGAGCGGAGCATTCAGGGCCAACGACCTGGTAACAAGTCCAGGCAACCCGTTGAGACCCATTTGTCCGAGCATCATGTGCGGCTCCAGGCTCGCGAAGCAGCTGGCCTGGGCGCACCAAGCCTATGGAAAGCAGGCGTTTCGGCGTCACGGCTCCTTGTCCTACGTTTCATTCTGTACGAGCCGATCACTACATCATTTGCACAACCACCGGGCAGGATTAGGCGGAGTTTTCATTCATCGCGACCGACACTTTTGCATTTCCACGGCTTTGGAGCTTTAAGTGTTAAACAACCACTGTCATTTGCGTTTGCCCTACCATGGACGTCGCCCATCTTCACTTTTTCCTTTGGGGTCTCTGGCCCTGTGTGTCGCGAACAGGCACGGGTATACGAACGGAACTATCCAGTATATACATGAGTCGGCTGTCGGCTCGAGGTCCTCGGCATGAATAGAGGCATCGACCTCGCAAGGACCGGGCGGCATGCTTCGACGGGATACTTTGGAAGCGATGGACGGTTTGCAAGCCTGGGGCTTGGACCTTTCTGACGACGGAGGACTGAGCGAGGATATACCAGCGAGACGCATAGAAATATAGAGCACATTGAGCAACGTGCTGCCCTTGAGCTGAAAGAAGCTTGACCCGTTGATGTGCTGCCTCGATATCGTAGATTGAATTGATCCACGATTGTCAGACCCAACTACATGATACAGTGCCTGGCCGACACTGGCAAGTTACAGGTGGTGCAGCCACCAAAACGTGGCACCTGCACTCGGGCAGTGACCTCCCGTGGCTCATCGCCCGTCGTTCCAGACGGAATGGGTCGATTCCGAGCGGGAGGCGCCGCGCTTAGTCATTTTCTGCCCCGCCATTGTGGCTGGCTGCCTGTCGACAGCCACAGAGTATGACATCGTGGTCAAGCTCTAACGCCAACTCTTGCAAGCTTCCTCCACCCGTGGTCCAAGCTTCCTCCACCCGTGGTCCAACAGTCCAACTCGTCGAGCGACGCGCCCGCCGAGAACCTGTTGCGTGCCCGCCCCCGTCGACGACGCATTGCGCGCACGCCAACAGCAGACATGTCGTCCACGTGAGTGCCTCTCCGTCCCTGACCTCTCGTCGATCCGTCGTGTTGCGGGGAACCCAAAAGCTGACGCGACCTCTCTTCGGCTGTGCTGAGCAGAACGGGCAGCGTCCTCTCGCTGCCCTTCCGGCGGTCGGCCCAGATGTCGCTCGCCGGGACGATTCGCGGGTACATCAACGACAAGTACGACCAGCATCCGGACATGTTCCGCGCCGATCTCGAGACCGTGGATGCGCTGCGCCGGGACGCGGTCAATGTGCGCGAGGCGCACCCCAGCGGCGTGCGGAAGCTGCAGGCGTGGGCGGGCCAACTGGCTTGGATGGGGGGCAAGTTTCCCATTGATGTGAGTGACTGATCCCTGGCCAAGACATGGACGAACCCAGCGCTGCGTGTAGGGCTTGGGTCCGAGTCGCAGCTGGCTCCCCGGCCACGCGAGATGCTGATATGGCGACGATAGATAGGCGCCGAGTTCACCTGGTATCCAGCGCTGGGATACAACACCGAACGTCCCATGGTGCGCAACAACCTCAAGTACGAGCTCATGAACGTCCTCTACAATCTCGCCGCCCTCTACTCCCAACTCGCCGTCAACACCCCCAGGTCTACGCCCGAGAACCTCAAGATCGCCGCACACAACTTCAACCTCGCCGCGGGCGTCCTGTCGCACATACAGAAGACCATCCTCCCCGAGCTGCGCATGCCCGATCCGCCCGACGACATGGATGACAGCACGCTCGAGGCCCTCGTGCAGCTCTTCCTCGCTCAGAGCCAGGAGTGCATGTGGCAGAGCAGCGTCCTGCGCGACCTCAAAGATCTGAGCATCGCCAAGCTGGCTGCGCGCGTATCCGACCTCTACAACTCGGCGGCTGAGGCTGCCATGCGCAGCGAGGCCATAAGCAGCGCCTGGATACACCACATGACGGCAAAGCACCACCACTTTGCCGCCGCCGCCCAGTACCGCGCCGCTAGGGACTGCCTCGAGAAGCGCAAATACGGCGAGGAGGTTGCGCGCCTTAAAGACTCGGTCGCTTGCCTCACGGAGGGCCTCAAGGAAACGAGAGGAGGGTACATCAATAAGATGATTGTGGATGATCTGAACGCGCTCAAAAGAAAGGCCGAGGACGACCTGAAGCGCGCGGAGAAGGACAACGACATGATCTTTCTGAGTATGCCATTCTCCACTGCTGCTGTGCTTGGTTTGCGAGTCTTGCGCTGACGGAATCAGACCCGGTGCCACCCAAATCGGACCTCAAGATCCTTGACCGATTCAACATGGCCGAGATCAAGGTGCCGCCGCAAGTCGCGAACCCGTACGACTTTTTGGGCGAGAATGCCGAGTTTGGGCCGGCGCTGTTCTCGCGCCTCGTCCCGTTCTCGGTGCATGTGGCCACTTCGATATACGAGGAGCGGAGAGACCGGATGGTCAACCAGAACATCATACAGCAGCTGGAGACGCTAACGGAACAGATGCACATGACCATCTCCTCATTTGGCTTGCCGGGCTCGTTGCAGGCCTTGGAGAAGCCACTGGGCTTGCCTCCCAGCTTGGTGCAGCACGCAGAGGAGCTCCGACAAGGCGATGCGATCGGAAGGGTGCACCGGAGTTTGGCCGACATCGATAAGTTGCGCGCGGCCGACCTCGCCATCTTCGAGGAGGGTAAGTCGGCGCTTGCCACCGAACAAGAGGAGGACGAGAGGTTGCGAAGGAAGTACGGTACCGAGCGATGGACGCGACCGCCCGGCCAAAACGATCCTCAAGGGGCGAAGTTATGGGGCCACGCCAACGAGATTGAGGGCTACTTCCAGAGCAGCATCAGCAGCGACGGCATCGTCAAGGACAAGTTTGCGTCCACGGAGGACCTCCTCCGCGTGCTTTGCGGGCCGGACCGGGGTCTGATGGAGTTCGTGCCATCAAGTACGCAGAGGGAGACGAGCGACGAGCTCAAGGCCTCGGTGAATCGTCTTCGAAGCGCATACAACGATGTGCAACGGCTAGAGAGCCGGCGGCGAAGGAAGGTGGAAAGCCTTCGGGAGAGCGCGCGGCGCGACGACATCAAGCCTGATATCCTCAAGGAGGCGGCACGACTGGAGCGGACATACCCCAACACCGCCATCGTGCCGGCGCACTTTGAAGACTTTTTTGAGAAGCGGCTCGACAGGTTGTACGAGGCGGAGCTGGAGGCGGTGGATAGTGAGGCGGCGCAGGAGCAGGAAAAGCTCCTCGCAGTGGTGGAGCGGGCGAACCGCGAGTTCGAGGCACAGAGGCGCAAGGTGGGCGACCGCGGGCTCCGAGACCGCGAGCAGGCGCTGCAGAAGCTGGACAGCGCGTACTTTAAATACAAGGAGGTCGTCAACAATCTCGAGGTGGGGAGGAAGTTCTACAACGACCTGAACCGCATCGTGGGGGCCGGCTTCCGAGACGTGGTCAAGGGATGGGTCGCACAACGGCGCATGGAGGCGCGTGCGCTGGAAGAGTAAGTCCTTGTGTCACAATCGCGGGCTGCGCGTGACTCCGCGATGGTTCCCGAGCTCATGTATATGACGATCGCTGACTTTCACCACATCAGGGAGCTGAGCATGCCGCCGCTATCCAACCTCAACCTGTCGCCCGAGCCGACCCCTTCGACAGGGTACACCACCAACACGCATTCATATTTCAATCCCGAGCCGGTCGCTGCCCAAGGCCAATTCCATATGCAGGCACAGGCTCAGCAGCGGCAGCAGCAGCAGCCTATGCCCCTCACGGGAGCGGCGAACCCGGCCGCGTCGATCCAGTCGTGGGCGGCGGGAGCGGGGGCAGGAGACGCGGTGCAACAACCACAACCGATGAACCCAGCAGTGGCGGGAGCGGCAGCAGGCGGCGGTGGGGTTTGGAGCCCGGCCATGGGCATCAGGTTTGGGAGCGGGGGAGGCGGCGGCGACGGTCAAGGGCAGACACAAGGGCGGGGGCAGCCGCCGTCGAGGGGGCAGGGGACGTGGAATCCAAACGGCGGGATCAAGTTTGGGTGAGGGCCATGCTGCGCGTTGGCATGGTGCGTGTTGGGAGGTCTCTGATTGAGTTGTGGAGGGAGCACGTAGAGGATGAATCTGGGCACGGCGCAGGCAGGCTGGCTGACTCGAGTTTTAGTTGCGTTCTGTACGAACGCATCAGCGAATCATCTATAATTGAAACAGGGCTCGCTCATATCGCCGTCGAGTATATACGACCTGATTCATGTTACGGCCTGCTGATGTCGGCCGGCGACCGTACCCAGACAGCCTCAATCATGTAAACTGGTCGTCCAGCATGTGTGCGCATGTGTCGAGTCTGAGTGCCACGACGTCGTCTGCCCTACATGAACGACTCATCGCGTCGAATCCGCCAGGCGGGTGACTTCCACTACTCGTGGACTGGGAGCACGACATCGCCGAAGTCGTACCAGCGGCGCCGACAGTTCGGAAGATGCGACGGAGCCCGCCTGTCACTGGGATCCCCGACTGCGCTGATCCCACGAAGCATGCGTAGAAGGTTGCCGAACCGAGTCGACCTTCGTCTGCGCCGCTTCCACGATGCGTGGTGATACTGGTGCGACAATCCTCAGCTTCCAAGACGGTTGCTGCTGTTGTCTAGAGCCCGCGTCGGCCCCGAGTTGTCGCCTTCAGGGCAAGGTCGATGCAACTCGCTTATATGGAGCGTCTCCTTTCGACATTTTCGAGCCTTGCGCGGTATCTGCACTGCGCACGCCTTTCTTCACCTTCTAGAGCCATCAATAGTCTTGAATGACAGAAGCCAACGGCATGGCCCTGATCCAGCGCGCCTTCGATGAAGTCGAGTTGTTCGTCCTCTTCTCCTGGCGTGACTGGTTCGCCGCCATCGTGCCCTCCTTTCTGTTCGCTGCGGGCCCGATCTTGACCTTACCTCCTGACGTGGCAATCCGCAGATGTCTGCTCATGCTCTCGTGGTCGATCCTCTACATCTACGCCTTCACCCTGCTGAACCAAGTGCTGGGCCTCGAAGAAGATCGTGTCAACAAGCCCGACCGACCTATCCCCTCCGGCAGGGTCTCGATGCGCGGCGCGCAGACCCGCTGCGTCGTTGTCTGGGTGCTCTTTCTGTCGACCTCACTCCTCGAAAGGACGATCTGGTGCGAGAACCTCATACACGCGGTGTTCAGTGCCTTTCTGTCGTGTACAAGGCCGGGAGGACATTGGATTGGCAAGAACGTCGTGGGGATGTCGGTGATGGGCGGCGCGATGCTCTCCACGTCGCGCAAGATCATGGGTGACGGTACGCTGGCGGCAGGAACGTGGGAAGATATTATCTCTCTCTCCGTGTGGGCCGGGTTGTGCACCCACGTCCAGGACTTTCGCGACCAAGCGGGCGACAGGAGAGTCGGTCGGTCGACATTGCCGCTTGCATTTGGCGACATTGCTGCTCGCTGCATCCTCGTATTTGTCTGCTTGCCGGCTGCTCTCGTCGTCGTCTGCACAAATGGCCCGGGCCAAAACGCGCCGTGGATCGTGGCGGTGATGCATGGCCTTGTCGGGTACCGCCTTTTGCGACATCGAGACAGAGATGTAGATGATCGGACATACACGGTAGGCAATATTGCATCAAGGATTGTGTTGTTGCGAGCACAAGAACGTTCGATAACTGTCTGGCTTGGTAGATCCTCCTTCACACCTTCTGCGCGCTTACGGCTTTGAGTTCGGCGCGTTGCGCTGGACCGAGTTCGCCAGTGTTTCCGCTCGAGGCGAGGATGTTGGGTTGGTGGAAGGCCAGGGTTGGCTAATCGATGGCGCCAGGTCGGGGAGGCTTTGATGGTGAGACTATGTGCCTACCAAAACAGTATATGGATGACGCTGACCTCGGGTGTTCAGGATGACGTCCACTACCGAGGCCGTTTTACGATGTATCACGGGATATATATCCTCAACGTAAAAAACTAGACGGGCAGGGCGAATTGACAATGAGAATACGGAGCGTGAAGCACTCTGCAGTAGAAATCACTGTTCTCTCTAGACACATAGCCGTGCACGAAGTTCCAGTGTAACAAGGCGTACGTATGTAGGTGTGACCCGGACTCAAAGGAAGGGGGCAGTTGTTCCCCATGTTGGCTGAGAGCTGGGTTGGCAGAAGAGGAGCCCGCACCATGCATCCCATCTGCAGTTTGCTCCACTGTTGGATCTGATACATGCTGGGTACACGTTTCTACAGGCACACAACTAACGGCTCCATGGCAGGCTGCAATTGACGGGCTTCGTACACGATGTCTACACTGAACCACGTACCGAAAGCGTGCTCAAGGATCCCTAGTCTCCAACAGCGTTGGCATTGGCAAGCTGGACACACCTGCTGACCCAAACCACGTAATAAGACAGCACCGACCCAAAGTTTAAAGCGTGTCCCGCACCGGCCGGGAATAGCCCTTCGCCGTTTCGTGGGGTCATACATGTAGGGCTGGGTCGTGTGACGCCAGCCTTTTTCACATGCTTTCCCCCGGTTGTCAATTGCGGGGATGGACGACGTGGCAACAATAGCATTGTTGCGTGTCAAGGCACTCGCCTACCGCTTGACAACTCGCGAAGCGATGGATGGATGGATGACGATTGAGACGTCGCAGACATTGACGGGCGGCAAGCTCCGGCCGGCGTTCGGGTCGCCGGGGCCTGCGAGGACCCGGGAGCGCGGGACGGAGGCTGGTCCACAAGTCGCCCCGCAGCGCCGTTTCCCCCATCCCAGGGCATGTGAAGAGAGCCTGGCACTTGGCCTAGTTCGCTATTTTACCCCATGCAGGGTCCGTGACGATTCGACTTTGTCTGGGGTAACGTGGTGGTTTGTGGAGTTGCCTGCCACATCACAACGGGCTGCGTCTATGCAGTCATCAAACACTCTGCATCGCGCCGTTGTTGATGGACTTTGACGCCTGCTTCTCTACACTTGCTTGAAGGCTCTACTGATCGTACCAGCGTGGTCGAAGTCACAAGCTATAGCCACCAGAAACAACATGATGGCATCTAACACGGAAAGCCCCGACGCCACGGCGGAGGACCGCAAACAACCGACCCGCGTGCCTCCCGACGTCCACATCTACGACACCATCGAAGAGCCGACGATCCTGCGCGAGATGATCGTCGAGGACGTGTACCTCCTCGGCGGGCAGTTTGCCATCCTGTGCCAGTTCGCCCACCCGTCTCTCGCGCGCGGCGCCTCCAAGCACAGCACGTTTGCGTCGCGGATCCCCACGCGGCTGCGCAACACCGCACGCTTCCTCAACGCCGCCGTCTTCGGCACGCCGCGCGAGAAGGCGGCCATCTTCTCCGTCATCCACCGCTATCACGCGCGCGTCCGCGGCGACGGCTACGACGCCAACGACCCGGAGCTACACCGCTGGACGGCCGCAACGCTCTTCGTTTCGCTCGTGGTCGTGCACGAGGCCCTCTTCGGCAAGATCGAGCGCCCGCGCCTCGAGGCTATGTACCGCCAGGCCGCCGTCTTCGGCACGAGCCTTCGCATGCCGCCCGAGCTGTGGCCCGCGACGCTTGACGAGTTCTGGGCATACTGGGACGAGCAGGTGGAGACGCTCGAGGTGACGGACGAGGCGCGTGAGCTGGCCCGCGCCTTGCTCTGGCCTGCTGGCCTGCCATGGAACCTGCGAGCCGTTACGCCGTTTGCTCGGCTCATGACGGCGCATCTGCTGCCGGCGCGACTGGCGCGAGAGTACGGGCTCGAACCGTCTGCGCTGAGCTGGGCGCAGTATCACGCTGCCGTGGCGGCCATGGCGACCGTGTACCCGCGTCTGCCGGACAGCGTGCGGCACCGCATGCACAACGAGTACATGGCGGATCTGGAGCGTGCGGTGGCGCGGATCGAGAAGACGGGCCACTGGGGGAGGGACGAGAACTTGTAGGCGGTCGCAGCACGACGTTGCGGGTGGAAACACACTGTTGTGGAGTCGGAAGCTGCGTGTTGAGCGCGAGCGTGATCGGATATATATGACCTGACGGGATATGCAGCGTTGGTTTGCTTGTCTATGGAGCGGCGAAGCCTACGTGGAAGAGGAGGCCTTGGGTAGTACACATGTCGTGCGTGTCGAATCATTATTCACTGAGCGCAACATGCACGAAGTACAGATTTGCTCAAGCGCAAAGTGACATCGTGTGAGTTGGACAAGTCCGGCAACGTGAAGCATCATGGGGCGCTGAACTACACGTAAGCTTCATAGACACTGGTTGGTGATGGGAAGTGGCCACACCAAATGGGGAGTTCATGTCAGTCAAAAGACGGCAGATGTCAATACGGACGGCCAGGTCCTCAAGCTGTCCTGCAGACAGGGCTTCTTATTCGGCACCGCTATCCAGACGCCAGCTCAGTCAAACACCAATTGACCATCCGGAGCAGCCTCGCCGTACGACGGCGGCATTGTGTCGGTCCGCCGCGTCGCATCCTGGTAGGACGGCAAGTCTGTCGACCGGCGCTCAATGCCCTCGGCTTGGAGCATGTCGGACTCGCCGTGGTCCTCGCCTTGCTGCTGTTGCTGCGGCTGCGGCGTAAAAGGAGGCGGAGGCGATTGCGGCGGCCGAGGCGGTTCGTTTTGCCGCTCCTCGTCGTCCTGGAGGGGCACGTACGTCTCCGTAGACAACGCGCCTTGCTGCTGGCCCTTCCACACCTTGACGAGCTCCGGCCTCCACCGCTCCGCGTCCACCACGCCCTTGATGGCGAAGCCGAAGAGCAGCGCGCCGCCGAACACGCCCGTCACCCAGCCGCCGGCCTGAGGCGGCACGCGGCAGAACCAAAACTCGTTGGAGAACGTCGAGCTGCCCACGTCCAGCGTCAGCGTGATGGTGCGGACAGCGACCGCAAAGATCAAGTACACGATGCGCCACGGCATGCCTCTGCTGAGTCCGCAGCAAGTGCATTGACACGCCACCATCGGCAGCAGCGGCAGCACCCACTGCATCGTCATGATGCTCGCTATCGCGGGGACTCTGTCCCTCGGCGCGGAAAAGTAAAGCGAGAGGATGAGCGCCAGCCCCACGAGGACGAGGAGGGAGCCCGCTGTGGCGAGCCGCCAGCTGTGGTGGAGGCGGCTCACGCGCCGCGAGACGAACAGGAGGAGGTACGCGCCGAGGACGCAGGCGGGCGTCGTGGAGAGAATCCACATGCCGGCGGCGAAGACGCGCGTGTCATGGTAGCGGCCGGCCGTGTATCCGTACACGACGAGGAGGATCTCCGTCACGAGGATGACGCCGTCGAGGAGGGCGACCTTCACCCACTGCAGGGCGGTCGGGCGGAGCACCTGGGGGTGGTTCGGCAGCGCGTCGCCAAAGTAGTACAGCAGCGGCCACGCCGAGGTGCTGTTGCGACCGTCCGAGATGGCGCGCGCGAGGGCGATGAGGCCAATGTAGGTCGGCTGGACGGCGCGGATGCAGTTCCACGCCACGGCGCAAAAGAAGAGTCGTACGCGACCGGGCGAAGACGAGGCGTCGCCGTCGCTGCTGCGCCGGGGCGGCTTCACGAAGAGCAGGGGCACGTCGACGAGCCACCAGGAGACGCAGAGGGAAAAGAAGGAGAGGGTCGTGATGACGGCCTCGAAGGCGTTGGGGGTGCACGACGAGTCGTCCATGCGATGTGTGGCGAAGGCACGTCAACCTCCATGGTCCCAAATGCACGTTGCCCGCATCGTGGAATTGCCCAGCCTCGCAGTATTGCATTGACGTTCAAACAAAGTGCAGAGATGAGATCTGATTGCGGCTGAGGCGCCAGGGCGACGCCAAGAAGGGTCCGTGTAAGAGCGGCGCAACTTCACCCCGGGGTTCAATCTGTAACGAGAACGACTTTACCCGCCTCGCATTTTCGGCTCAAGTCAGCCCTGCACGCAATCAGAATGAGCCTTGCCTCGGTGCAAGCCAATTATCATTTTTTGGACACTGCTGGTGCGCTTGATCTGGACTGTGGTTGAGTGGAGGAGTAGGCCACCGGCTGGCATGATGCGCCGTGGAACCATGGGCTTCATGTTGTCGCCGTCAACCCGCCGGGGTCAAGGAGCAGCTGGGCTGGGCATGGCCGTCAGATGCGTATTTTAAGTTGGAGGGATCTGCGCACTGCCGAGTCATCGACATTGCGCTCACAAACTGCCGTGAACAGCACGGTCTCTCCAGAAGTCCTGGTGCGACCACAACTGGCCACGCATCAATCGCATGTCAAGCAAGGGACGAGGACATCCTCTATCGTAAGACAATATGTACCAGGCGCGAGTATGTACAGAAACGACAAGTGACCCATGCACCCCAAACAGAGCCGCTTCAGTGACGTCCTCCTCTTTCGGCGGTGTCCCGATCGCCAACGTCGTCGCACGATGAACCGCCCCTGCATCGCCACCTTCGCCCGCCCGTCGTCGACCAGCCACTGCGTCGCAGGCGAACCATGGCTTCGTCGTCATCGGAGACTTTGCTTCAGAAAGTCCTTTGCCCAGTAAAGTCAGCACACCACTCGCATGCCACCGCCACTGCCGCGCCGGTGCAAGTACGAACCTTGGGCGGCTGACGCCGAGATTGACGCCATCGCGGCTCCCAGTGCCCTTGCGTCCATGGATCGCGCAGACCCTCGGACGGAAGCACGTACACACCCCAACCGGCAAGTCAACTGCAATTGGGTCACCACCGCATCAGCGTCAGGGAGTAATGAAACACCCGGGATAATTGAGGCGGCGGGCTGTGCTCTTACCTGAGCTGCACATGCCCGGGACGGGCCGCGGTTGGTTAGCGGATGTGGCACCAGCCGTGGCTGCAGACTCGCCGTTGAAGACCAGCCTGAAGGGATACATGAAGAGCTGCCTCATGGGGTAGAGGAGGTACTCGATTGCCGACTCCAGGGACAAGCCGCTCAGGACGCTGATTGCGAAGGGGAACTCGCCGAGGAATGTGAGTATGCCTCTAGCTGAGTGCCTGATCGTGCGGAACAAAACATGCACAAATGGCTCGGGAGCGCAGACGTGAAAATTGACAGTTTCCACCTGCCGCAGGTCAGCTTCCCGACAATATTCACACTTTGCCATGAACCCACAGCAATGTTGTTGTACGTCGCAGTCAATTGTGCAATCTTCTGCCTCCCGAAAGTATGACCATTTTGCTGATGGCCCCCGAGCGTGCCGTTACCCGCGCCGACGTACTCGCTCGCGCCGCGTGCAGCAGGGTCCTGCTCTCGAGGCGGGACACCAAGTGCGTGCATGAAGGCTGAAAGCGCATCAGCTGCTGACGCGTGTCCCATCGGTTCACCCTCGTCGGGCATTGGCTCCGTCGTTGCCGGCATGGTCGTGAGACAGCGGCGCGGCGTGGCGATATATTGGTTCGAGGCGACGAGTCGTGCCAAGGATGATCCAGCGTCGCGTCACCACGACACAGGATGCGACAGTGTGAAGCGGTGCAACCCTCTCTGTGCCGCTGAGAGACGAGAGAAGTGAGAGACGGCGTTGCCGTGGGTCGAGAGCGTCAAAGAGTCGACCCAGCTCGGCTGCCTCTCGGGGGTCGTACAAGAAGTCCCTCGTTGTCACCCGGCTGCGCAGCCGGACAAGTCTGGAGACAAGGCTCTCGGCGGGCGAAACTTGGTCGCCTTAAGCCGCATTAGCAGTATGACTGTATCGACAGACCGGGTGAGGCTGGGAGACGTCGCGCCCACGCGTGGTCGCTCTGTCGGTCACGACAATTCATCGTCTTCTTTCCGTCGCTCTGCGTTTGACGTCTCCACCGAGGGATTTCTCGATCGCGACCTTCTCTTCTGCATGATCTTTTTCTTGGCCGTGCAGTACGAAGCACAGCTCTCGGTGTATCATGGCTCACGTATTGGTCCGCCGGAAGTGCAACCCGCGGCCCGCTCCCCCCTGGTCAGACGACCGGCTGTGCGACCACCGCCGCTGAGCATGGCACAACGGGCCAGGGCCATGCTCCACAGGATGTGCCTTGTAGAGCCTGCATTGCACCTCGCTCAAAAGCCCAGCGCCCGAGTGGTGCAGTACAGTATCTGCACCTGAACAAGGCGACTCTCCTTCACACGGAATCCCAGATCAAGCCACGAAGAGAAGGCGCAGCAACTCATACTCTGCATATAGTCGTGATGCAGCTTTGATCCCAGTACCGCATAGAATTGGAGCGCGTAGCTTCGCCTTACAGCTGATTTGCGTGTGGCAATGCCCATCAAGACCCTCGGGCTTCGACCGACACGCAATGTGAAAGCCGCCAACGCCACAAGTGCCTAGGGAAGCTTCAAGCTGCAGAGTTTCCGCATCTTTCGAGCCATTTGCCAGCCACCCTTTACTCGCACAAGCCTCATCCGTGGTCACCCAAGCGTCCCGCCCCCTCTCGCCCCACGCTGGTGCTGTGTACGGAGGCATATAAAGCGAGCGCCTGTGTAACCACACATTGCGCCAGAGCCTCGCTGCCACGTTCTGCAGTCCGAAGAGACATGTTCAATGTCCTCGCCATTCTTATACTGGTACATTAGGCTTCTTCCCCTGGCTTAAAATCTTCAAAATGCTCGACGACTGACAGCATCCTCGAGTTTGTCGGAAATGATGCCACGCCCAGCAGCTTGGCTCGACACTGGGTAGACCCGTTCGACATTCCATTCAGGTAACCCATCAGCAGCAGAACATCGCCGGACATACAGCCAGAGAAAGATAAAAACTGTTGGGCCCTGTTCAGGGTCTAGAACGAGGAAGCCTGAACTGGGGTAGCCATACCTTTCCCTACCTCCGACCCTGTGCGTCAAGTCCCGGTCACAGATTGAGACCCCGGTGCGGCAGAGCCTCAAGCCATCTCGAAAACCCACGAATCCCGCATCGACATCATCCGCCGAGGGCTTGCCATTTCTTCAGCTCTGGAACGCCTGAAAGCTGCCTGTCATCGAAGTTGCCCGCCATCGCCCGCCGCCTTGCCAAAGCCTCCCCGGCAGCCGTATCTGACCGCGAGACCCTTGTCGCCGAGGCGCAAGGCGCTGTGGTCGAATCAAGTGGCAGTCCTTGAGCCTCGGGCAGTCGAGTTTGACCGCTTTATTGCCCAGCGGGGCCCCATTCGCTGAAAGAAGGCATCATGGCTGAAGTGGTAGGCGTCGTGGGTACGGCAGTGCAATTAGGCGCACTTTGCCTTTCGATCGCGGGCGGCATACAAAGCATCAGAAAATCCACGCAAACACTGCAAAATTACAACAAGGAACTGGAAGAAGTGGGAGAGCTGTCAAGGCGGATATCCGAGAATCCCCTGTTGCAGACGCCCGAGATCGAAAGGTACACTGCCTCGCTCCTGGCGCTGATACAACGGACGGGCCTGGCAGCCATACTCAGCAAACAGCGGCTGATGCGCGCCTTCTTCCTTCTCCACAAGCAGCAGGAACTCGATAACACCTTTACAGCCCTCGAGCGCCAGAAGGCGAACCTGTCGCTCACCATCGACGACATAACGTTGCGGACCGTGCATCAAATACACTTGAACGTTAGCAGGCTCAACGGTAACCCCGAGACCGAAGACGACACCGCCATGTCCAGCACCCGAACTGAGATCATTCAGAGCGAGACTGGACGCGACCGCCTCCTTGAACAGTCGGCACCGCTGGAAGCAGGTGAGAACACCGCGGTGATGCCGTATTCGACTTCGTCTGACGCACGTGGAGAGGGCCGCAGGCTTTCTCTGCAGCATATGGACACGAGCAGTTCGCCGCAGGGGCTGGCGGTATCTCGGCAGGGAGCTACAACTTCCAACTTCTTCCGCAGCTACGCCGGGCCGAATGTCGACCAGCGGAACGGTGCCCAAGTCCAGGGTGCCGCCACAATTCTGCCTCATCTGAGGGACTCGACGCAGCACCGACAGGCTACCAAGGAAGGCCCGGGAGAGCAGCGCAATGGCGGCACGTTCTTGCTCGAGGGCAGCCTCGCTGGCCCGATAGACCTCGCGGTGCTTGCTGGCCAGCATGTCAACGCCTCCGCCACAGCCAGGCCCAACACGAATGCGAACTCCGGCACGAACTCGAAGCGGGAAGAAGCAGCGAGGGAGACGGTCCAGAACAATGGCCCCAAGATTTGTTTTGTGACGCCTCAGTAGGCGTGGGCTTGTGGATGATGATGGACCAAAGGCGAATGTACATGGGAGGCCGAGGCGACGCCTGGCGATATCCACTCGTTAGAACCGGGGGCGGTTTGCGGGCACTGGGTGCGGTACTGTCACTTATATAAACACTACTGTTCTGAGATGACGTGACTCAATGTTCTAGGTGCCATGTGAGGTTTCAGTCCAAGAGACGCCGAGAGGCCCAGTCGTTCCCCATGTCGCTACCATGATGAAACCACGTTCAGCGGTGCCTGGCCCAGTCAAGCAAAGAACCTGGGTTGGCTGATGAACACCGATGTGCATGAGTGCAGAATCTGAGGCTGGGGGCCATGGATGGCAGGGAGCTCCCCGTCTGATCTGCCGCCACTGCCATCGCTTCACCCTCACGTCCGCATTCGTGCAACTACCGCCCGGCCAGTGCTGCATCTCATGGCGGTGGAAACAGGTTTCTGACGATGCGCAGATCGCTCGGTGCTACATAATCTCCACCGGATCCCTTTCAGCTTCGTGCACTGCAGGCATCGCAGGGACCCCTTGCCCCCACGACGGTCTGCACGTCGGCCGCCTGGACAAACGCACCCGCATATGCGACGGCACGCCCCTGGCTCGCTGGGCCGTGACGGGCCGTTGATTGCGCGCAGCATAAATGAGGGTTGGGCGGTGCATGTGCAAATGCAACCGCACCCATTGCCTATTAAATCGCCGACGACGCAGCTGGGTGCCCTGTGATCTGGTTCCTTGCCGTCCCATCTCTCTTGCGGCCAACAGTGTCGTACTTTGTAGCTGACCGCAGAACTACACGCCCGGAAGGTTCGAGTCTGCATATTTGCCGATTCCCGACTGGAGAGTGACCATGGGTGACGACATTCCTCCTGCCAGGAGGTTTAAGACTGAGCTCACGGACTACGCCGTGGCTCACGATGACGCACCCGGCCCGCACGCGCGAGACGCAGAGTACGATGCGGTCATTGTGGGCGCCGGCTTTGGTCCGTTCACCACTTGCCCTCGTTCCTGACTCCTGTTCATGGTCTAACGAGAGCTAACGGACGTGCCCCGAACGCAGCCGGCATCTTCATGCTCAAGACGCTCCGCGACCGGGGCTACCGCGCCGTCATCTTTGAGGCCGGCAATGACCTGGGCGGGACGTGGCGGTGGAACTGCTACCCGGGCGCCATGGTGGACTCGGAGATGCCCGAGTACCAGTTCTCGTGGCCCGAGGTCTGGGAGACGTGGACCTGGCCGAGCAACTACCCTAACTACGAGGACCTTCGCGCCTACTTTGACCACGTCGACCGCGTCCTCAGCATCAAGAAGGACTGCGCGTTCAATACGGTTGTTGTGGGCGCCAAGTTCGACACGGCTGAGGGCAAGTGGACGGTGGACACCGAGGGCGGACGGCGGACCAAGACCAAGTTTTTGATCCTCGGGACCGGCTTTGTACGCTTGATGCTCTGTTCCCTGGGTTTGCCTCTCTTCACTCGTGACTTTGAGCTAATGTCTTGAACCTGCTGCAGGCCTCGCGCCGATACATCCCCGACTGGCCGGGCATGGATACCTTCAAAGGCGAAATGCACCACTCGTCGTTCTGGCCCGACTCCAGCATCCCCGTAGAAGGGAAGCGCTGCGCCATCATCGGCACCGGCGCCTCGGGCGTGCAGATCGCGCAAGCCTGGGGCTCCCAGGCCGGCACGCTGACCGTGCTGCAGCGCACGCCCAACATCGCCATCCCGATGCGCCTCCGTCCCCTGACACCGCAGGAGCAGGAGCCGCGCGACAAGCACTGGTACCGCGAGATGTTCGCGCTGCGTGAGCGCACCTTTGCGGGCTTCGTCTACGACTGGGTCGAGCGCAACACCTTCGACGACCCGCCCGCCGTGAGGCAGGCCCTGCGCGAGGAGGCGTGGCGGCGCGGCGGGTTCCGCTTCTGGCTCAACCTGCACAAGGACGTGCTGTTCGACCCGGCGGCGAACCGCGAGGTGTACGACTTTTGGGCCGAGAAGACGCGCGGGCGCATTCGCGATCCCCGGAAGAGGGACCTGCTGGTGCCGAAGGAGCCGCCGCACTTCTTTGGCATCAAGAGGCCTTGTCTAGAGCATTGCTACTATGAGCACTTCAATCGCGACAACGTCGATGTCGTGGATATAAGTAAGAATGAGATCAAGGAGTTTACCGAGACGGGTATCCGCCTCGAGGACGGGTCGCATCACGAGTTTGATGTGATTGCGCTGGCGACGGGTTTCGACATTGCGACGGGAGGCAAGTGTCCTTTCGTGTTAATTCTCTCCTTACACTACACACCGCTCTCTCTCTCTGTACAAGCTCCGAGCACTAGCAAAGGGGACGACAGTCGCTGACGTGGCGAGATCAATAGTCATGACACAGCTCGGCCTCGAAAGTATCCACGGCACGACCCTCCGCGACGAGTGGCGCCCCGGCGCGCTCACGTACCTCGGCCTCACGGTCCCCGGCTACCCCAACATGTTCCACCTCTACGGCGCGCACGGGCCGACGCTGCTCGCCAACGGGCCATCGGCCGTCGAGGTACAAGGGCGTTGGATCGCCGACTGCCTCGACAAGATCCGGCGCGAGGGCTGGCGATACGTCGACGCCAGGCCCGAGGCCGCACGCGCGTGGAAGGACCGCATCGTCAGCTTCGCCAACACGAGCCTGGTCCCGACGACGAGGTCCACGTTCATGGGGGGTTGCGTCCCAGGCAAGGTGAAGGAGCCCATGTGCTTCATGGAAGGGTTGCCGACCTACCGTGGCATCATCCGAGGCGCGCTCGATTCGATGGAGGGGTTTGAGGTGGTCAAGTAGAAGGGAGCGGAGGAGCTTGTTCGCTCGCACGTCGAGCGAGGTTGTATGCGGGTATCAACGTTGAATTTAGTCTATAAGGCTAGAGACAAAGGAAAATGTTGCGCGCTGAAGCAGAACAGGGTATCGCCACCGAGTGTTTCGTGATAAATACAATCTCACCTCCGCCTGCGACCAAAGCAACAAGCGCGCCGCCCATATCGTACAAGCACCAGAGCGATGCCGCCAATTTACTGGTCGCCGTTGACCTTGCCCTTGTTCATGGCCTCCATCTGGGCGTTGAGCCGGCCAAACTGCCACTCGGGCAGTGTGATGCCCGTCTGCTCGTTGATTGTGGTCATCAGAGGCGGCAGCATCTGGTAGACGTTGCGCATCGCCTCGGCGGGGTCGTTGGAGGCGCCGCCGTTGCCGCTGCCCGTGTTCCAGACGGAAATCTTGGGGGCCATGCCGCGGACAGCCTCGGCGTTGGCCTTGGCCAGCTCGACGTACGTGCCCTTCTCAATCATCATGTACTGGAGAAGGCCGGCAGGTCCGCCAAACGCCGTCGACATCTTCCCGTAGGCCTCGGCCATGGCGCTGATACCCTCGGCCTCCTTGAGCTGGCGGATGACGGCGGCCTCGGCTGCCTGCTGCGTGGCATAGTTGGTCGCCTCGGCGTCGACGCGCACCGTGTAGGCACTACCGTCAGCGTGGCGCTGCGTCGCCTCCTGGCGGGCACGGGCGTCGGCGGCCACCTCATAGGCCGAGGCGTCGGCAGCCTGCTGCTTGCTCTCCCTCGCAATGGTGGCCTTGACGACATCGCGAGCACGGAGACGCTCCATCTCGGCAGCGGCGCGGCGGATCTCAACTTCCTTCTTGAGGTCCTCGTCCTTGGACTCGAGGGCGCGCTGGGCCTCAACCCGGGCAATATCGACATCTCGCGTCAGGTGCGTCTGCTTGGTGTTGAGGCGGGCCTCAGCCTGAGAGCGCTCAATGTCGCGCTCCGTCTTCTGGACGGCCGTTTCGGCATTGATCTTGGCAATCTCGCGGTCCTGCTCACCCTTGCGCTGAGCCTCACCGACATTACCCTTCAGCTGGGCCTCAGCGACGTCAATACGGGCCTGGTTGGTGGCACCCTCGTGAGCCTTGCGGGACAGCGACTCGAAGTAGACCGAGTTGGGGGCGTCCTTGAGCTCCTTGACGTTGGCGTTGTAGATCTTGAGGCCGAACTGGTCGAGCTCGGACTGGATGTTGCGGAAGATGCGGCGCTTGAAGACCTCGCGCTCGGTGAAGATCTCCTCCATGGTCATGCTGGAGACGAGGACGCGGGTCTCGCCCTCGATGATGCCCTTGACGATGTTGGCGACGTGGGTCCGCTGGTCCGTCTTGACGTTGGAGGAAGAGTCGGACTGGGCCAGCAGCATGGCGTACTTCATGAGGGCGTCGCCGCGGTCCTCGCGGTGGCCGCCACGGGGGTCGTCATCCGGCCCCGCCTCGGCGACGGAGAGACCGGCGTTGGCGCCGCGGGCGTTGACGTCCGGGCCGACAGTGAAGACGACAGGCAGGGAAAACTGCAGCTTCTCCTTGGTCATGGCCTGGAGGTCCATGGCATAGTCGTGAGGCTGCACGGAGAAGCGGGTGCACCGCTGGAAGGGCCAGACCCATGCTGCCTTTGTGATTTTGACGGTACGCACGCCCATGCCGGTGACGGCGAGGTACTCGTCGGGAGCGGAGATGCGGTACGACATGGTGGCGGTGGTGTGTCGATACGGGCTGGTGGGTGGTGAAGTCGGTGTTGGGCTTGGTGATGATATGGCGTGGTGGCGTTGAGGTGCTTCTGGTTCTGATCACCAGCACCTGGGTCGCGACGGTGGGATTTGGAAAAATGCTGGGGACACGGTGTTTGCCGTGTCGAGAGATTGTCTCGAATCTTGGTAGAGGGCGACTGGACGAGCTGGAGGAGTGCGCGCAGCTTAATATATGGTTGCACGAAAGAGGCATTGCACCTGCACCACGCCGTCACATCACCTGTTTGCTGGCGTGCCGGCCGCGGCGCCGATTCTGGCATGCCACCGCATCACAGGCATCATTTCGCGTCCACGTCTATGCCGAGACACCAAAGGGACATGCGAGAGCAAGGCTGCCTGCATGGCGCACACAAGCGCATGGGGGAAGGCAGCCTACCAGCGCTCGGCTGGGCGGTGGCAGTGTCGCGAATTGGATTCTCGAAAGGCCGCCCGGCCGGGCTTGGGCTGGACGAGGAGCTGCGAGCTTGTCGGCAAGAGCGGGGCACCAAGGATCAGCTGCTGGGCGAAGGAGGAGGAGGAGCTGTTGAGCCGCATTCCGAGATGGGACGGCTGCTTCACAATGCGCAATGGACGGTGGACGGATGCATGGATGGGAATGACGGATGGGAATAATGGTGGAGGAGGAGGATGCGCTTGGTGAAGCTGCCAAGGGATGAAGTCGGCTAGCGCGTGGCACTACCTGCACTGTCGTCGGGCGCATCCAGTGGAGACGGATGGGCGCCCCTGGGGCAATCAGCGGGCAACTCAGTGAGGACAGCAGCAATGACAGGCGGGGTGCTTGCCTGCAGGGAGAGCCTCGGGCGAGGCAGTGCACTTCCAGGTTTTTGGCACTGCGCCGCCAAGCCGTGGTGCCGGCCGACCCACCGAACCTCAGGCACAGAAGCCACCTAGTCGCCCTCCGCAGCCCCCAGAAGTCCTCCACAACCAAGCCCGGACAGAAGGGGGCTCGGTAGCGCTCCCGGGCCCTGCATTGTAGGTATGCGGCCCACCGCTGTGGCTTTGGCAGTTCGTCTTTGGGCGCTTGTGCCTGAGCTGAAGCCGAAGCCCAGCCCAACATGAGACGTGGGAGACGGCCACCATCAGCACCGGTGTCCAACGCGGCACCGACAACGGAGCCTTGTCAGGCTCGGAATGCCTGAGCTGAAGGCACCGATGATACGCGAGCGAAAATTGCCGCACCTCTACTCGAGCTGTTTGCGCCCTTGTGGTACCTACCTCACCTTGTCAGTCGGTGTGTATGTCTTGGTGGCTCAAAGCCGGCCCCGTCGCCTGCAGCCGACGGTGACGGGGCCCGCTACCCGAAAGGTGCAGCCCGATGAGCCCGGGCAGCTGGGGGAGGTGGGGATCAGGGCTCCAGTGCTCCAAGTGCTGCGCCCCCATCCACTGTGAGAAGCACTAACTCCCGTCCGAGACACTCAGCACCTCCCCATTTCACCCGTCACCTCAGAGAGCGGACGATGCTCTCTCAGTGGCTGCAAGCTGGTGCCTCCCCGGGGAGATCTCCCGCCAAGCCGTCCGTGCTTGCCTCCCTTCCCCCTGTAGCTCACCACCTGGCAGCACTCACTCTTGGGCAGGGCGGGCGCTCCCAGCCTGTACCGTGGCTCGCCCGGCGGGCGCGCCCAGTCTCGGCCACCATCAACTCTCGCCACTGCGCCGCCCGTCCTTGGCCTCGCCCCCGCGACAAGGCTCATCCCTTCACTGCCTCACTCCCCGTCGCCCCATATGACTTTGTCCGGCTCAGTGCCTGCATCCTGTCGTGCTCATGTGACGCGCCTGAACGAGGCTGATTGCCCGTCTGAACTCTGAACTCTGAACGCTGAACTTTGAACCTCGAAGCATCCGCAGCCTGAGCCTTGGGGATCGCGTCCGACACTCGCGGGTCTCGACGTCGAGGCAGGCTGCAGGCGGCAACTTGGTCTCGTTCACCCCGCGCAGACCACAATCACCAACAGAAGCCGCGCATCTACTCTTGCTCCACGCAATACTCGCCGTCGTCACGTCCAAGCAAGCCATGGACCAGGGCGACGATCTCCCTCCGCCGTACTCGGCTGGTCCGTCGACCACCACGGCGCCAGTGCGGCCCTTCGCACCGCTGCCGCACACGTCGTCCCCGTCCTCGTCCTCGTCCTCGTCGCTCTTCACCCACCACCTGTCGAACCTGCGGTCGCAGATCCTGGCCGAGCAGGCCGCCCGAGCCTCGGACCGCGACATGTCCGACGCGCGCCTCCTCGCCCTGCTGGTCCCCTGCGTCGAGGAGCTGCTCTCGTCCATCGCCACCGTGCACCCGCCCCCGCGGCTGGTAGAGGCCGCCCTCGTGCCCGCCTCGGCTGTAGGCCCCGACTGGCACTTTAGCGACCAGGACGAGCGTCGAGACGGGGAACTGCGCACGGTAATGAGGGTGGATTCTGACGTCAAGGGCGGAGACACCAAGACGGCCGCCCGCGACGGGCGCGACGGGCGCGACGGGCACGGCTTGTGGTGGGGCGACGAGGACACGGCGCGGCGGCTCGCCAAGTGCCTCAACCCCGAGGGCCCGGTGCCGACCAACCTGGAGCGGCTGGCCGTGAGGGCGCACGTCAAGGAGGCCAAGAGGGCGAGCCGCTGGGGCCTCTTCAGGCGGGACGAGCCGCCGCCGCCGCCACCTCCAGCATCCCAGCATGGCGCGTCGCCATCAGCAGCAGCGGCCGCCGCAGCTTCGAGGGCCGGCGAGGACGTGGTAATGACGGTGGATGCGGACGAGGTAACGTTTCGGCGCGAAAACGAAATGGGCATCTGGGAAAGCCGCACGGGCTGGGGCATCGTCGTGCGCGTGAGGATACGATCAGGACACATATAGACAACGGGACGGCGGGATGGCAAAACCTCGTCGCTGTTGCGCGCAGCTGCATGCCGCCACCGTTGTTTTGTTTCCAGGCTAATACCGAGCTGGCTGGCTCGTGTCAGGCGCGCGGCCTAGCATGCCAGCCAACAGCTGACAGGAAGTCGCCGCCTTCACCACCACACCATGTTCATGATTCAGGCCCAGGACTGGAGTCTGTGTTGTGTTGTGTTGTGTCGTACGACGTCTCAATCCAGGCTGTCAAGGCCACAATGCTTGCTCTTGAGTCTTGACGACCCATCTGCTGGAGCCGCGTAGAACATGCAAAGTAATAGAGAGACCCCATTTCTTGTTGAGCCGTCTCGTCCATCACAGTCAGAGTCGCAAACCTGGTGGACTAGGGGTCCAGGGTGGGCAGAGCCGTTACGAGCCACGACAACGGGTTGCTCTGGTGATCTGGGACATGCTGCGCAAAGGCAAAACCACGAATAGTCGCAGAGTATTCCAGTCACGGCAAAAATGAGCTAGACTGAGCGATATTCTTAGCACGCGCCCGCGCCCGCGCGCGACAGTCTTTCCACCCCCGCCACCCTCGTACGGCTGTCGCGCCGAAACACCCCGATGCGAACTGCAGGTACTTCGTACGAGGAAAAAAAAAACATCACAGCCCGGAGCATTCCAGTCACGCACGCGCCTGGAGTCAAACCCAAACCCAAACTGCCCTTTCTGCCACCTGATGCACACTGCGAGGACACGGGAAAACGAGTCATGGCCGAGGATGCTTCTAAATCGGGCAATCCGGCGCAGCGGCCCCGACCGTGGGCGTCCGTCTCCGGTCGTTGTACTCGTAGGGCTGGGCGAGGGTCCGTCGTGATGTCATCCAGGCCCCCTCGACAGAATGCCAGCGGAGACCCGCCAATACGAAGCGCACCGCGGTGGCTTGCCTGGGCCGCTGCCCTTCATTAGACGTTTACGAGCAAACACCCGTCCGTATGACCTCACGTGCCCACGTGGGGACGGCGCGGCGGCAAGCCCAACTACACTAAGGACGGCTTCGGCCTGGACTGGCGCGAGGTCCCGAAGTGGTGTATTACACCATGTAACATGAGGAATCATTCGAGTTTCCACTTTATTCGGTATACGAGGCAAAACGGTTCACTGCCCGCTACTACGTACGAGCCCCCTCCCATGCCCTGTCAAGCCTGTTTCCCAATCGCCTGGAGGGCCATGGGATGAAGATCCCCTCGTATTGTATAGCGGCCTTCTTTAGTTAGTCTAGGGCGAAACACGTCCGAGCACAACCGGTCGGCGTCAGTATATAGCCCGCAATGTTCTCGGCTTGTTCAAGTGTTTGGGAATCGTGATCCAGTCGTGACTTGCAAGTTTTCAAGCAGCTTCTCAGTTAAGCGCAGACAACAACCACCTACGACAAGACTCCAGTCGCCAAGCTTCCCGCCATGAAGACTCAGATCCTCTTCGCGACGCTCACCAGCGTCGCTCTGGCCGCCCCTGCCTGCCCCCCGGCCGGCTCGACCGATAGCCAGGGCCGCTACTCCTGCAATCCCGCCCATCAATACCCCAACGGGCAGACGTGCGAGGTCGTCGACGGCTGCTACTACCTCTTCGCCAACGGAAAGCCCGTCAACAACGCTCCCTCCTCCGTGACTTCTGCCACCTCCACAAAGCCCACGCAGTCTGCCACCTGCCCGGCGCCCGGCTCGACCGACGGCCAAGGTCGCTACTCGTGCAACCCAGCACACCAGTATCCCAATGGCCAGACCTGCAACGTCATCGACGGCTGCTACTACCTCTGCGATAGCAACGGCAAGCCCATCTTCAATGGTGTCTCGACTACGGCCACCTCCACCCAGCCGACTCAATCTCCAGCCTGCCCGGCACCCGGCTCGACGGATAACAAGGGCCGATATTCATGCAACCCAGCACACCAGTACCCCAACGGCCAGACCTGCAACGTCATCGATGGCTGCTACTACCTCTGCGATAGCAATGGCAAGCCCGTCTCCAACTCCGTGAGCTCGGCCACCCCCACCCAGACCCCAACGTGCCCGGCACCGGGCTCGACCGACAACCAGGGTCGCTACTCCTGCAACCCGGCCCACCAGTACCCCAACGGCCAGACTTGCAACGTCATCGACGGCTGCTATTATCTCTGCTCAAACGGCAAGCCTATCTCCAACACCGTCTCTTCTGCACAGCCCACGCAGACCCCCACGTGCCCGGCCCCAGGATCCACGGATAGCCAGGGACGGTACTCGTGCAACCCTGCTCATCAATATCCCAACGGCCAGACTTGCAAGGCAATTGGTGGTTGCTACTTCCTCTGCGACAGCAATGGCAACCCTATCAACAACAACCCGACCGCTCAGCCCACCAAGAGCAGTCCCAGTGCCCAGCCAGTTACCCCGACCCGCACTGGCGTTCCTGTCGTCACTGCTGGTGCAGCTCACGTCAAGGGCGCAGGAATGCTGGTCCTTGCAGCGGTCGGTCTGGCTCTGTAATAGTTCTACAAGGGCTCCCCACGGAGAAGTTGTCGGATACGGATTGACATACCTGTGGAAGAACAGAAATCACTAGACAGGGACGGGTGGCATCCACGTAATTACTAGCATGGGCTGCACGACACATAAAGGCATCTGAAGGCCTATAATATTAAATAATGTGCCTCATTTGACCTCTCCCGAACAAAAGATGTGACTGCGAAGATCAAACCATAATATCGTCTTGCATCCCCCCGAGCTTCTGGCACACACTCATCCATAGGCCATCGCATGATCTAGTCCCGTTTCCCGACACACGAAAGACGAGTTTACTCGGAATCTGACGTGAGTTATTGTAACCCGTAACATATATCCTGGGCCCAACGCATACTTTGTAGAGATGGCAAGATAGAAGGCCAATGTTACGTCGCAGGCCATTATACGTCACCCGGCCCCTCGTGTTTGATGGGGTGTACAATCATGCTTCTCAAACACATCCTTCCGCTGCTTCCTTCGTCGCTCTCCTCCTCGAATCCCCCTCTCGCGGAACTCGTCATCGCCCCTCTGATGGAACTGCTCCTCCGTCCCGGCTGTGTTTGCGCATACCCCAGCCACCTTCGCCACAGAAGTCCCGCAAACTCACTGTTGTAGTACCACGTTGAGCCTTTGAAGTTGTGCTCATTCTTTTGGTCGAAGGGGCTTCCAATGCCAGATGTAGAGTGAGCTGCACCGCTGTTGAAGACGGCGTCGATCTCGTTCACTGGATACCACGCCCTATCCAAGTATACTGGATGCGGCGCATACACTGCCTTGAACCCATGATGCAGGGCTATGGTCGGAGGAAACATTTCGCTGAACATGGTGTGGTGGTGGCGCCACACCTCTTCGTGCATTGCCTTCAGCAGACGGCCACTCAGGCGCGACGCCGTGACAATAGCGCATCGTCTTGGTGGTTCTGATGGCGACGCCCCAGGGTATCCGGTGATGTCGTCGGAAAAGATCCACCCGGAATCTACCGTGTCGAAGATTGGATTGAGAGTAATGAGATCCGCCGCTTCTCCCACGCCACAATCTTCTGGTTGCTCAATGCAATTCGCAGGGAGTGCCGAGGCCTGCCGTTTCTCGTGCCGTAGGCGCTTCTGCCCCGGGAAAGCCACCGGCCCAAACACGTCAGGACGCCCGTATTGCTTCGTGTCGAAATGAGCTGTCCGAGAGAAATTGTCCCAAGATCCGTGATATGACGGGATGTAATAACGAGCATTACGCTCCCACAAGAGCCGTCGCGGCTGCTCGTCCGCCCATCGTCCCATCCGGTCGAAGAACTCGTAATAGCTGCCAACAACTCGAATGTCTACCTCCCAATTCCAGTAATTCGAGTACTGTGGATGGTCCATGGCGAATACTTGTAATGGGAGATGGCCGCTTCGGTAAAACCCGTGGGCGCTTCTTTCACTTGGGTTCGCCAAGGGTGCATCGAACGCACCCGGGTAATAGAGCGTCATCTCTGACTCGCTCCAAACCGAGACGAGGCCATGAAACTCAACTGGTACGTGGGCTTGCAGCAGCCGTCCGAGAGTCTCATCGTCAGACCATATCGGTAGGTCTGTATTGTGAACCTGCAGGAGAAGATGCACGGCGTACTCGCCACCGGTATTGAGAGAGAGCTCGGAGATCATAGCTCGTAGGTTCAGTATGGCCAGTTCCGTCCATTGGAAGCCCGTGTAGAGGCGGACCACTACGGCAGAACGATGTCGAAGCTCAGAACGTGGATTGACTTTCTCTTTGCGCTGCTCATCATCATTAGATGCCCTCATCCGCTTGAGCTTGTTGTCCCTATTGATCGATTCTGCGGTTCTGCCAAGTGGCGCCGAATCAAATCGGTGTCTGTTGGAGGCAAAACAACGCTCCTGGGCATCGCTCCAGTTTATGTTGCCATAGTCGATCTGCCCTGTCTGGGCCCATACGGCATCACTGCCCGAGTTCTCTGTGTCGAGTCCCACGCCTGACCCGCCGTGTGCTTTCCGATACCCGAAACCGTACGGACCGTACCGGCCGAATCGATCAAAGCAGACATCTGAACGAATTCCGAGTAAGTCGTACGAGCCAATAGCTGGACTCGGCATTTGCTGCGGGATACCGCGGTAGGCATATATGTTGGGAACTGGAGTCGAGTTGGAGATGTCCAGGTAGCATTGCGTAATGTTGTTGGTCGCGGAATCGTATGGACTATAAATCTCGGGCTTCTGATCCTCGTGCTTCGGCACTGATTGTCGTGGAGGACGCTTACGTGAATTTCTGGGGTGTTCCGGCACAAGCTCGCTTGCCTTGACTATGGCCTTTATCCCCTTGAAGTATCCGTCAAGACTATCAATCTGTCAGCTGTAGCTCATGACTGACGAAGGTGTATGGTGTGCCAAAGAATTCGGAGAGGACAGCACTCACAGGGAAAACCGCATCCATGGCAAGGGCATGAGAATTTCCCCTTCCAGATTGGCCTCCGGCACGTTTTCGTCGTCGAAGTCTACGGCGTCATCGTCCCCGTCGCCATCGAGACTACGCCCTACCAGACTTGCCGTCAAGTTACTGGGTCTGTCGTCAATCTCATCGCGAGGGTATATATCAATTTCTTCTGAAAGAAGTTCGTCCGCGGATTCTTGAAGCTGGAACACCTGATCCTCAGTGTCGTGAAGGCGTGCAACATGCTTGCTCACCGTAATCGTGTCGGCAGCTCTCAGCCTGTACGCATCGCCTTCCGAGCCCAGTCGCAGGTTATTGACCGATACTATACATAAAGTACTCAGCAGAACAAGATTGGTGACAGCCAGACTGATAACGATGAAGCTAAGCCCGCGGCGGCTGCAACAATATCGCAGTAGCAAGCCGCGGTCTAGCGATGGCTTTGCCCGGGCTGCTTTGAATAGTGGCGTGCTCCGAGAATTCATCGTAGGTAAAGTGCTATCATCGCTTGCCTGAGAAAGTTTGGTAGAAAGCAAGTAATGACTCAAATGACGGGGGTGTCAGTGAATATACATGGGCCGTCTGGTGCATTGTACGTGGGCAAACATCCGTGAGAACCATGACGTCCAAAACGCCAGACCTTCCGACATATATCTAGGATACATGTAAACACGGAAGACAAAACCCGAATAGTACCCTGAGCGCCATATTGAGCTACTTTGATGATAGACTCTCAAGCCACCACCTCGCCACGTGCATCCCCAGTTTACTCATGTGGATTTTGCCTATATGGGGTAGGGGGTTCAGATGATCCGGGATGTACGGATCACAATTCACCGTTGGCGTGACACACAGTGGCATCTCATGTTCTAACCTTGTCCGCAAAGATAGGAATCTGGGGTCTCCCTGCCACCGTAGCTAACCAGCGATCGAACCTTCCGTGTTTCATTCCCACAATGAACATCAATTGAGCCGAAAATGGCCTTTGGTAAACACAGCTCAATTGAGGTCTTTTGAAGTGTACACACCTGATCATTAGCTAACAGATTGCCGTTACAAACAGATCAGGCTCTGTAACGTCCATTTGCAAAGGAGTACATAGTCTAAGTCAAGTAAACATCCCGACACATCTGCTTCGCAGTCGAATCTTCCCGATCTTGGTCGGGACGGGTGACTAGCGTAATTTTTCGGCAAAGTTCCGGGCTTCGTCGCCGATAGCAGCAGGACAGTAGTGCATGGCTTCAACCAAGACATTTGCATGCCAACCCCTGTCGAAGATCGAAGCCCGGAAGACGCTTCCTACCTAGTGTGTTTCGAACTAAGCTTTCTTGGTACATGGAAGCCATGAGGAACGCACCTTCGACCGAGGAACGTGCCTCCCATAATATACCCTCTTCCCAGGTTAGTAATCCTTCCGACAAGACTGCCAACATCCGGCAGTGTGACTGGTCTAAAAGGGAGAGTCTCGCAAGTTTGATTCACGTGCGCGGCGATCGCCAAGGTCAAAGATCCAATAGGCCACTATGGCAGGGACGGCGTAGAGTCCGATGTCACCATGTGAAATTGACGTGAACATTCCTGCAACATGCCCTTATGAGAACACCTCTGTTGATGTTACTAATCTTTCTCACTTATCGATTGCCTGGACCGTAACTTAGAATTTCGTGACACGCGCTTTGTGCATGATCATGTAGAGCAATATGACCTCGAATGAGTCCCTTGAGCAGACTCAGTGCCACGCCTAACCCTTACGGTCATCCGAGACAGGACATTTATGCCCGATCGGGCACATTGTCAAGTCACAGAACCAGATACGTGTCATTTACCTTTTATTGCCCATGTAAAATTTGGTATGTGAAATGATCGCCCTGCGTTGGATTGTGGGTCGCTTTGGGCGGTTTGGAGGACGATCCGAGAGTCAAACTACCAGCATGCTGTGTCTCTCCAGAAATTTCGACCGTTGGCCAGTACACACATTTCGGGCGCCCTCGGCATGCATATGCAACACGTTCACGTTGCCTTGGAGGCCTTGACAGGCTGCCTTGTCTGTCCAGCTGCATATACCATGACCACGAGCTCATGTACCATAGCTTTAAGATATGGAACGCGAGAAACTACGTTCTTGGAGGCAAATATAAAACCTGTTACCTTCACTGGTCCCTTGGTCCTGTGGTTCTCTAAAGTTTGCCATGGCAGGCGACCCATTGAAGACTTGGGGCGCAGAACCGGGCATGCTCGTGCTCTGACCGACAACCAACATGTCCGATGGTGTTGAGACATTGGGTTAGACGACGACGTGTGCGCACATCCCTTCAAGAACAATGAAAAAACTGTAATACACATAATAATGGTAAGAGCAAAAGTTGGCCACAATTCTGAGACTCTGTCCATCCTATCGATACTCAGGTGGAATTGTTCCCAATACATCCTCACTGTTTGAACTGTATCATGACGAGCCAGTGACCAGGTAACGTGTACGCGTAGCATGAGGCTTTTCAGTCGACGCTGAACTGTGACTTAAACACCAGTTGCCGTGATGGAAGCTGGAGCCCGGCTGAGTCCCGAGGGGGGACTCCCTCCGCCAGGAGCCGAGTCATTGCCCCCACCTGTATGATTGCCCATGCCAGCGTTACCATTGCTAACACCTCCCCCCTCATAGTAGTACGCAGCTGGAACAATGCTGTCAGACCCGGTAGTATTGATACCGAAGGCCAGCCAAGCAAAAATGCCATCTTGGATGTCATCCGTCAGAAGGGTGTACTCCATGAACGGGTCTACACCATCTGTAGCGGTCTCTTCACTCAATATGCCGTCGGCGGCGTTTTTGGTGAGTTCTTGGGTGTTGGAGGCATAAGGTTCGAGTTTCTCGACCTGGGCTATCAGGTCTTGGTCGAAGAAGGCTTGTCCAACATGGCTTGCGTAGTTCTCCCTACCAAGCGTCATATTGGGAAGAAGCGTAGCATTTGCGTGAACCATAATGTGGATATGCGTAGCTCGGCTGGTGTAATGGCCGGGAAAGACGGATTGGAACTGGGCCACACCATCACAGTCGGTCTTTTGGATCCCCCGAAGCCACGTGTTGTTGATGTTGCTGCCGTCGGAGCTGTCGCCGTTGCCGGAGGCAACAATGCCGGAGTACACCCCAGTGGAGTTGCAATGCCACATCTCGAGGTAGACATCAGGAACTGGATCGCAGGTGTTGACGTCGACCACCTGATAGTCAAGAACCATGTGCACACCTTCCTGACTTTCGATGATATTTTCGCGGACGTACTCTCCGGCAACATCTGTCAAACTCGTGAGAAAGAAATCCAGGAGTATGAATAATTGAAGGTGAAGAGTACAGTAAGGCCCTTGGGTGACCTCTGGGGTCAACACGCAAGAGTTGTTCCCGGCAAAGAGAGTGCTCGCGTCGGTGTTCAAGGTATACCCCGCATCCGTCTGGTTGTGAGAGGCACTCAGAACTGAGTCCAGAGACCGCTTTCTCAAGCCATGTTGCTGTCGAACCTGAGATATCTGTGCCGATCGCCTTGCTATGTTTCGAGCCTGGACTCCACGAGCCTTCAGCTTGTCTGCGCAATGCGAGATCGAGGAGCGTTGAACCGAGTTGAGGAACTGGCGACGCTCTGCAGCTTCATGAGCAATGTCATGTCCTGGGTGAGCCGCAATGGCATCAGCAAGAAGCAGGACGACACCAAAAAGCTTTGAAGACAGACGCATGTTGATGTAGAGGAGGAAAGTTCAAGGGGCCTTGGCTTGAATTGCGAGTGGCGGGTTTGAAGCATCGATGGTGTCTTGGTCACTAATATATACCAACGGGAACAAGTCCCAGTTCATCTAGTACGTTATATTGAGACGTTTTCCTCAAGTGAGCTGTCCTTCTGGAGCTCAAATGACACCAAGGGTCTAGTGTTGCATTGGGCCTACCCGAACTCTGACTGGCACCAACCCACATCACGGTTTGCAGCCGGAGTTGCCACCTCAGCCACTGCAAAGACGACAAGTGATGACGCGTTTCCGAGGTGCTAGATACCCATGCGGTCGACTTTCCGAGATAAAAAGGGGGGAGTTTCAAGTTGTTTTCAGACCGCAGCTGATGACGCGCCGAGCCCATCCTGGGTAAACGCTCCGGCACTTGTAAACAGTAACGGCCAATGAGATCCACCGCGGAATCTCCCCGACTACAAAGATTTCTCCACGCAAATGAGGCGATCTGTGATTTGAATCAGCTGATAGCTATTGGTCAATTACCTGCCGAGGACCCAAAGTCGTTCGGGAGACACGTCAGCCCGTGAAGATTTACAGGGTCCACTCGGCCGGCGAAGCGTCCCCCACTTCCCGGGGCCGTTTTTCGACGGCGTACGCCAAGATCGCTGGATTCCGAAATCGGCATCGGTTCATGTCGCCATGAGGCCGTTGCAACGGGCCGCACAATGAGACAAGCCTGATGTTGCCGCTATTCGACAACAATCTCACTTCATGTGCTGAGACGCTCATCGGGCGAACTGTGCCAGCAGCCCGGCAGTTGGAGCCCAGCAATCAGAACTCAGCTACGCCTCAGGCCATGGCGACCCACACAGGCACTGCACCCCGCATGCTTAAAAGTCCGGTTCTGTTGCATTGGTCATGGGTCCCCACTTACACGACGACTTGAAGGTAGCCCAACAATTCAATGCAAGGCTCATGTCCGAGCATCAGGACCACTCGTCCGCCTGGCATTGGAAGTTACTGGAAGAGAACAAAAGCTCGAGAAGAGACCCAGTCTTGACTTGGTGATTTGCTTTGGCCAATTCACTTGTTCTGTCAATTCACCTGTTCCTGTACGGTAGTAGCCGCAGGCTCCCACATTCCGGATGGGTGTATTTCGCCTACGAATCTCCTGCGCTCACCGCTAACACTGAAAACCACTCCGAAACACCACCTGAGTTGGGCACGACCAAACAGATTGTTTGATCTTACATGGAGAATTCTCTCGTTGCTGCCACGAAATAAACGCTGTGGAATCTCTACATGCTTCTATCGACAGTCGTCATGACTTTAGCCAACTGAGATGTCACAACATGTGAGCGGTCGTTGCTGTATATGTACGCTGTCGAGCGCCTCGCGGACCTACGGTAATGATTGTCATGATAAATCACGTACTGCTGGACCTTGAGCCCCCTGGGTTCGGAGTAATTGCAGGTCAAGTGGCCACATCATGCGACTCACAGCGATAGCAATTGGTGTATAAGTATACTGTTCGTATTACTCCAATAGACGTCCATGCCAACGAGTGATGTCATCTTTTGAGATGGTAAGGACTGAAACACGAGGCAGCCTGCCGGGCTGGAGCTCGACCGCATAATGCATATGACGACTGGAGTGTTCGCCCCTGGTGGATATGGCCCCGCCAGCTCTCCACAAGAGGGCTATCCAAAGGAAGCTTAAGCTGCATAACACCCTTCGATCTAGGGCATTCAGCTTATGTTAGAACGCGACCAGCATTTGGAGGACATCTTTTGATCACTATTCTGATACTTACGCATGAATTGAGCGTGCTTTGGACCTTGCTCTTGCAGTCCTTGCAGGGAGTACTGGATGGCTGTCGGCATGGCTAGAGAAGCAGTGATGTTAGCATGCCGTCGGTATGAGGCGTCGTTTATCGCGATTTATTACTTACGCCGAGAGCACACGCAAAGCTTCCCGCGACAGCACCCGTGCTGCACTTTTGGATGCAGGAGCGAAGGTCTCGCGTCTCGAGCGCAGCGTCAATGTCCGCGTCGGTTAATGGGGCTGACAGTCCCAAACCCGTCAGCGCGGCGAAGAAGATGAGTGTGGCCTTCATTGTGACCGAATTTCGTGGTTTCAAGGTGTGATGTGAAGTACTAAATGTGCGTTATGTGTCTTCAAGAATCTTAAAATGCTCCCGGACTCATATGGAGCTTGAGCTGCTTAAATAGGTGTCTGGCAGCACTATGCAATGAGATATTTGCATGTAGCGGGGGGGTGCTAACTGAAGACGTAACAAACGCGATGGCCAGATGTCACGAAGAAGCCGCACGATCTCAGCGTTCTGCAGGCCGGTTTCCTGGCCACTAACAGTCTGAACCTTAATCCACCGACTTTGACTCGCAGTCGCAGAGGTGTATTCAATTGTTAGGCGCATCTGCATGGGCTTGCCCGCTCAGCTTTAAATAAAGTTATGTCAAGACGCCTCTTCTGACATGTAAGTCGGAACAAGTAGCGTTCTCACCGCTTCGAGAAGAATAGATCATACTGGCAGAGAGCTTTCACTAGAAAGACTCTGGAGACCTGGTCGTTCATATACCAGCTCGTCGGCCGATACAGATGTCGACTTGTCCACGATGATACCACGAGCAACAATGCGGGAACCTGACAAAACTCGTCTCAAGTTCATCGTATAACCCTGTTCTCCAGTCATATCTTTTGCAATACATTCCGGCACCTTTTCAGAACCATAAATCAGGCAGCCAGCACGTAGCGCGAGTCTCGTACCAGGATTGGGCATGACTCTCTCGAGCGGCCTGGTTTGTTGGGATGCCCATCTTTTCAACAAACGATGTGATTTGCGCGATTCTGGGACCGAGTCTGACCCAGACGCCATAAGTTCATGCCCCATGCTATGATATGTGTGGTTTTGAGGCCGTAGTGCCCGGAGGTAGAGATCCGCGAGAGCAAGTTCTGCTTGGAGGAAGCTACTTGTGGCGTGGAAGGTTACACGCCCTCTCATAACGTCTATGCCACTTGGAGAAATCGAGACCATGAACGTACCACATCATATGCGGGAGCCGAGCCGTCTCCCAGATGCCGGGGTGAAGCCTGCATCAGCTGCATCGGGAGGTCTGGAACAGCTACCGCACTTGAAAGAGCATAGCGGCCCTCCCAATATGGGCCCGCTCGCGCGAGGCCGAGAGTTACGCAGCTCTTAGGCAGTGTTCGAAAAGGGGTCGGAAGTCGGTGCGTGGCGCAACGTCGCCCAAGCTCCTTCAGCTGGTTCCAGCGTGGCAGTATCCTTCCCCGGATTGCGCTGCGGGGTGTGGCCGAGCTTAGCGCCGCGGTGGTGGTCGTGCATGTACAGGGGTAGCGACGGCCGTTGGCGAACGCCTCAAAAAGCTCCACCGCCGCCGTACTTCCCGATGTGCTACCCACAGCAAGCCCTAGCTTCCATTCCAGGCCAAGGCGGCGACGCCGAGCCCACATCGCGACATGATCCACAGCACTCAATTTGATCTTATCGCATCATGACGGCAGTAAGTACCGATGCGACTCACGTCTCCATGACAAGACCCCTGCGAGATGCGATTTGCGACGGCGGGGTTGTGGATTGTGCGGCCACAGTCAAACCGCGTATGCGACACAAATTGGGGATCTCCGCGGCAGCTTCACTCTTGAATAACGACGATGGAAAATTAGTTGCCAATCCGATTGTACGTATCCGGCCATGATCGCCAATTCCAACACTAAACTCGGGGCTGAGGATGTAACCCTTTTGAAATGCTGGCCTGCGCTGAGCGTCTCAGACCATCGAGAATCAGAAAGGCTGGAGCTCTGCAGCCATTAAGAGAGCCCAAAAGGCGTGGAGTGAGACATACAAACCATGTTTGCTAGTGAAGCTGAGACCTGCTTGTACGCCTTCTTCGTAGTCTGAAGGCGCCAGTGCATGAAGACTCAGGATGAACTCTAAGTGATGTCCCATGTTCCGGTCCATCAATGCAGTTGTGATTTTCTCTTACCGGCACTCTGCTTCAGACGTCACTCTCATAAAGTATCTCCCGCAGTCGCACTTTTGCGAAGGTGTCTCGATCGCCCAGGGTAAGTTAACGTGGATGGCTGGAGAAGAGGGGGCTTCAGGTCAATAGTGTCGCATATCGCGTCCATGTGAACCACTGTCTTTTGCGTAGTCGCTCTCCCTGTACATTGAAGTCAATTCTTGTTGCTGATTTCCAGTAAAATTGTTGTGCCATGTGCGCACTGCAAAAAGTTGTACCAGATGCTATCCCAGTCTCCGTTTTAGGACTATATGCGCGATCTGTCTCTTAATCGTAAACGACTACATACAGAAGATTAAATGGCAGAGGTGAATCAGGGTCAAGATTTGAACAGAAATGTCACGGTGGAGGACTGCCTCGACAACCGGAAGGAAGCGGAACATCCGGAGGCCGGACGGTTTAGGCGAAGGCACGTGGCCGGGAAGCAAGTCGACGGCTCACGACACTGGGCGGGCCATGTATTGATAAACTCGCCATATAGCATGTTCGATGACCGGCGGTGCATGGAGGTGCACACTTTGTTCAATTTTTTGGTTCTCAATTGCTCCGCGAATTACGTCTTCATTGTCTGTCAGCACTCGAGCGTCCGCGTTCATGAAGACATCGAAAAACATGAGTAACAGTGCACAGCCTTTGGATGACGAGTCCCGCATCAAGCCCCTCCTTGTGCGGGAGCGCTATCATCGGGAAAGTTGTCGGTAGGACAAGCTCCGGGATCAATATCATCCGGGAGCTGGAAAGACACACATCCAGATTACCTGGTGAGACCTGCTAAATCATGTATGCAATCAGTCGACCAAGCGTCGCTAACAAGCGGTATACCAGATTTCATGGGGATATTGATGGCTTCGTGGTCGCACCCAGGCAAATGGCTTCAGACGGGACCGCCGCCATCCACACAATATCACCTGTGGAAATTCACCGCAACGATAGCGAGGCCGTGTCAGAATCCACAGGGTCGATCTCCACTCGGTTTAAGCAAGTCGACGCTGAGTTCGATTGCGTCTCATTCACCCGATTTGTTTCTCGGTTGGAGTGCGTAAAGGGTAACTGGAAACTACTGACTCTTGAGGCCATCTACGAGCGTGACCACACAATGGAGGTAATACCGTCAGCCTGTCCGGCGATATCTCTGCCCCAGGTGCTCAAAAATAGTTATAGGAGCACCTCTTTGGTCCTTTCCCAGAAAGGTTTCAGCATCAAACAGCATCTGCCAGAAAACGACCGTTCAGAGAGCTGCAATGAGCGCGTGGCTGAGCGCTTCAAATTGTTAGGCGCATGAGCTGCTGCTGGGTGGTATAGGCTTTTTAATTTTCGACTTGGTACAAGAATATAGCTCCATGGAGAAATGAATTACGCGATCTTAACGAGTCTGTGGCAGTGCCTACATGTAGTGGCGTCAGAGGGGAACGCTGAGTCCATTCTGGCTGACCTGAACACGTGCTGTCAGCCAAAACCCAAGAGCTTTGACGTGAAGTAGGAACATTGACTTCCCGGTTGGGATATTCTCAGTATTGCCGCTGCTGAAACCAAGAGCGCCGAAGAAGAGCAGCAGATCATCGAGCTCGAGCTGGTCGTACTGTGCCGGGGCCGGAGCCATCGGGCGCAATGGGGTACTGTCGTGCGTTGCACGGAGGCGAAGAGATTGAGCTGGTTCGGAGTCTTGGACTGTGGGGCCTGGATAAACCCCACCTGGCGACAAGGGCCGGTGCCCGTTCCTAGGCGGGGGCAATCATTGCCTGCTCCGAACCTGGCCCCGGGTTGCCGGGATGTTCCATCACGCAACAACGGGAAATCATCGGACTTTGGAGCAAGGACAGCGTACGGAGACTTCCGTTGAACGTCATGTCGGCTTTTCCGGCAGCAAGTGCATCACATTCCGCCCTTAGCTCTCCACAAGCTAGCCGCCACTACAACTTGCCAGTATGGCGAATTAACGAGCGATCGAAGTTCCGGCCTCTGGAACATCGTGAGGTTCTGTGCGCTCGCGGAACTACCGACTGCGCTGCAAGTAAAGCGCTAGCCATCATGCTGGAATGACCCCATCGTGCAGGCTTCTGTAACCCTCTTTGAGTTTGCATCAGAAAGAATGACAGCGCTAGCTTTCCCGTCCAATTCAATTATGACGTGTTTGAGGTACTTCCCTGTCACGACTACGACGATTCTGCCTATCGCGGTAGAATCGGCCTTTTTGGCGGCTGGATGGGACATGAGCGTCTCGATTATGGGAGCTACATCTTGCCGTCGACGGAAAGTGAAGTTCAAGACGCCACCTGGAAGGTCAGCGCCCCTAAAAATACTCACGATAACGTGATAAGACCGGAGGGAAAGCTCGGGCCCCTTTAGAACGCCTCTGTTACCCGCGGCAAAAGCGTGTGTAACGGCACGGCGGCCCAGCGGCCGTGGCTCATCCCTGTACCATGCGATAGGAAGCAACTCATCAGCTTCAATAAGCTGGCCCACAGCAAAGGATACACGGGGCTTCACTCGACAAGTGGCGATGCCCGGCACAACGCCGTAAGGTTCCCTAATGACGAGTGCATAACGGAACTGCCGAATTAGCCATGTTCGACGCGTTCAAGCCATTTTACTGCGTAAAATGGAAGGTGATGTCGAAGCGATTGCAGGAAGTTGTCGCGGCGACTGTGAAACCTGGAGGGAGGCTGCTCGCTTCACGAGATAGTCCGGTATTTCAATCGAGTCAATTAACTGTCGCAGACGTCACACATCCTCGGTTGCTCGTATCTCGAATTTGAAAGCACGGAACTTCTGCATGTCTTCTTGCACCAGATGTTGGGTCCGGTTGTGGTCGATTGTGGAGCCGCATGTCACGGTCCGAGTCCCCACATCACGGTGTCCAACCCGATCCTGGGGGACCCACCTCCCCGCAGCTACTGGATGCAACGGTGCCGGATAATAAGCCCAGGATCTGTGTCATGTTGATCACAACTTCGTTACTGTACGTACAGTGTCCAGTTGTGATGTATAAGCTGTCTAGCACAAAGACTGGCGGATTGGCGAGACCGAACTGTTTGAGTGCCAACACCCTACCACGATGCTGCACTGTGCCGCGCTGCAAAGTACTGTACAACAAGCGACCAGTCGCCACAGTGTTTAGTTGTTTCGACCAACGGCACCAGTGTTGGTTCCCTAGAGGAGTAATCCCGCATGGCCAACCGCGGTTATGATCTGACATGGCTTTTGTCCGCGGTGGGGCAGCAATGGGTCCGGACACAGCGCGAGCCTTCGAGCTACGAGTGGGACTGAAGAGGGCCTGGTCACAGTGGCGACGTCGCCGAATGTCGATGCCGCGATGGGCCTTGTCTATCATCTCGTATATTTGGTCGTCCAGGTGAAGAGATGGACTAGAGCTGATTGACGAACCACAAACGCGGTCTTGCGACATCGGCTGGTGGTTCAGAAGGCGCCTGAGCCTTCTCTGCGGTGGCACCAAACGTCCGACTACGCCGCCCTTGGGCTTCCGCCGCTGCCTTAGCCGCGCTCAGGGGAGATGGCAATGTTTCCATTCGGGTAGGCGGCACCCCCGCTTTACCCCTCGCCTGCGCAAGATTTTGTTATGAGAGAGATGAAAGCTGTCAGCAAGAGCTGAGCTGGCTTGCGGACTTGTTGACCGAGTCGAAGTCGGCAATGTCCGCTGCCATCCAGACCCGTCTGTGTCGCAAACTCTGCAAGCAACAGCATAGCAAATAATCCAGCATGGCTTGTGAGCATAGACACACTAGCAGGGTCATCAAGGAGTGATGGAGGGTCGAAGGCAAGGAGATTTAACAGGGGCGAGCAAATACCTGCACATGAAGATGAGGGCATTTGTCACAGCGCTCCCCTTATGAAACGAAAATGTTTCCCGAAGACCGTGGCGTTGCCCCGGTTGAGATCGGTTCTGTCCTCTAGAAGCAGTTCTCTTCGTTTCGCCCCGGGCATTTGGTGACCGCAGTAAATGGCGGGGATAGCCGCATCAGGCATCAATTGGACAGCCACCAGACGCCAAGGACCAAGCAGAAGACCTTTCAAGCACCTGGACCTTGCGCCACGAGAAATTACAGCAATTGTGTAAATGTCCCCGAAATCTGGCCCACGACTTTTACGGTGACCCTCGCGACGATATTTGACGCGATGCTAATAATAGACACAACGTTCTGCCAAGGCTGGAGCGTAGATCCGGCCAAATAGCGACAATCACTGCCGGGTCAGAATCCATGCTTAATTCCGATAAGGCGCGCATGTCTCTCCCGAGAAGCTCTTGAACGCTTGCGGAAGGATGGCTACTGCTTCTGTACGCGACGCGGAAGGGCCCGCGACTGAGGTCATCATGCCGATGGACGAGGGGACTGGTTGACTGGTTCCCTTCGTCGCCCCAGCCCATCCGCGAACGATGGCAAAATAGTAAGTTACGCTGTTGCAGCGGCGTAAGGTGTAGACTGGTTTCAGTTGTAACTAGCGCCGATGCCCATTGCCGGAAATAGATGATCATCGTCCGATGATGCAAGCTTACACTCGGCTGCGTGGCAAGTTCGGCCGCTTATGCAGGAGATCTACCACTCTGTTTGGCGACCGGCCCACAAAGCGTGCTGCGGGCGCGCGGAGCTGTCAAGCCAAGCTTCCGCCATTGAGTCTCGCCGTGATGAAGGCAGTCGACTGGACACTGATGGCTCAAGCTCGGCAACCAGCATCGGCTCAACCTCGTACCTTTGGCCGACGAGGGACAGAGAACACTGGTCATGGGTATATACAGGCAGCGTCGTGCATGCCAATAATTTGCAGTCAGCCCCAACAAGACAAACTCACTCAATCCATCTCAGCAAGGCGAATCCAGTCAGCATGAAGCTCTCCACTCTCTTTGCATATGCCACAGTTGCCATCGCCGGCACAGAGGCTTGGAGCTTCACGGTCTGGACGGAGAAGGACCAGAAGGGGAAACAGCGCCACTACCACAGCAGTCTCGGAGATAATGACTGCTACAACTTCGACGATTCCATTACTTCAAAGGGCGTTGGGTCATTCGAATTCTGCAGCTTTGTCTGGACCCGTTGCTCCGTCTCAATCCACAGCGACATCGGTTGTCGGGGCAAGAAGCTGGGGTCCGCCACAGCCGCCGACAAGGGCTTCTTGTGGCCGACAAAGTGGGCCAAAAACAGCAGCAAGGCAGGGCAGAAAATGAAGAGCTTCAGGATTCAGGGCTGCAAGCATATTCCTGTCACTGGAGGTTCATTGGATATTGCTAGCTGTAAGAACCAGAGGTTTTAGAGTACGCGACATAGTTTGGACACGTCCCTCTGCCAGCAGTCCCCTCACAAGCCCCGGTGCAGTAATGGTGCCTGGCAACGGAACAAATTGGCCCCTAAGCATGGATGTTCGCGCGCCCCGCCTTCACTGCCCACAGCGCTCCTCCTCCATCGGCAGCAATGGAGAGCCTGCAGTCGGCCACCTCACTTCGTGGTTCCAGGTTACACGTCACGGGTATACCAGAGTTGCTACCACTGCGCTCGCGTCGTCCGAGACATTTTTCGCCACGGTGGCACAAAATGCCTCTCCCAAGGGCTCAGGAACACGCCGCCTTTCGAAACTCCGGGCGGAAAGGCGCGAAGTGCGAAAACCTCGTGTGCAAAGACTTGACTCTTGCGCTGCAGGCTTAGTGGCGTACGGGTTACTCTGTGCCTACTAACTTGCTAGGCAGGTACTGCAGTAGTAGTGCTAGAGGACCCGCGAGTGCGGCAGCGCAACCAAAGGGGACCGCGCTGGAAATGAGAGACGGGTACCTTATACGCCCCTGCCGACAGCGACTGCCGTTTCCCACAGGACGGCGCCACCGGACGCAGGCGACGTATAAATCGGTATCCGATTGTGTTGCCTTGCTTGTTCGGTTGGGTGGAAGCACATCGCCGAACGCAGTGCTCTGGAGACCCCCGCCACTCATGGTCCTAGGGTCACCTGTAGGTGCGGGCTGCCACTATGAAGGCGTGCTACGGCTGCGGCCTCTATGGAAGCAAGGCATGACAATGGCGCGTCGCTGGCGCCTGTGCAAGCTGGCTGTGCTGCTAGTCAAAGGGATGCTGGGCTCGCCCTGTGTGGGCTTGATAGATGTAAGGTAGTCGATTGCCCAACTCAGCCGTACATGTTGAAGTCGGTCTCCCAGACGTCTTATTGAACCACCCGATGGCTGGGCCTGCTGTTGGCTGCCCGGCTACCGCCCCCGGCATTCCCAGGCTCCATTGCATGTTGGCAGAACGACTGGCTGGTCGGGGAGCTCTGCCCTCCACAGTTCCCGTGGTCGCATTGATCACTGGCACTGATTGGCAATCGGTGATCACTGTCTGGGCTGCTGCTGATTGCCCTGCTCTGGGTCGCGTTGGTCTGACCTGTTTCTGTCGATGTAGGTTATAGCTGGCTGCGAAGCGAGCTCGCCGCAGCCCTCACGTTTCGCGCCCGCTGCTCTCAGCCTCGCGCTTCACGAGCCGCAGAAGATGCCGCTGAATCTCCCGTGCTGGCTGGGTCCAGTACGTGCGGGCCTTTGGCGACGTCGGTTTATGCTACAGATGACCCAACCGCCCTCAACGCCGCCTCCATCGCATCTGGTGTCTGAAGTTTCAAATCTGAGCAACCTTGGGAATGACGGAACTTGGTCGGCGCGGACTGGGCCCTGCGCCTGCGAAGTACAAATTCACACCGCATAGCGAGCCTCTCGAAACGGCAGCGAGCGCGCGCCGAGCGGCAGCCATCACTTCATCTGGTGGCCAAAGAGTCAAGGACTCATGGTGAACGAGAGAACAAGCCGCCGGCAACCTGGACCGCGTCCCCTCGAGGTGAGCGCACTTCGCCTGGCGCATTGGTGGCATTTTTCATGCCACGCCAGCCACGGAACTTGGTAAGCCGGCGGCGTTGTCGTCTCTCTCCTGTCGCTCGGTTTGCAACTCGCATGCGTACGTGGCATTGCGTCCGTCTGGGTAGCACATTTCTATCTCCCTTCCCTTTCCAGATCTCCTCGCTCCGGGACGGACTAATCCGCAACGCCTCTCTCGCTTGAATTCTTTTTCGCCTCACCGCGTCGCGCGACTGCCACGGTCGCCATGTCTTTCTCTGCCCGCGCCGCCCAGGTGGCGTACCTCGACAGGCCTGACAAGGGCGGCCGTTTTGCTCGAAAGAGGCCCGAGGCACAACTACTGGCTCATTTTGACACCACTACGTCGTAAAGCATTTGAGTACGGGAATATGCGGAAAAGAAGAGAAAAGCCTAAATGTCTTAACACGACCATACATCAACCTCTTACAGACCCAAGCATATCCACCCCAAAACACCACACACAGAAGCAACAACGACCAATGTCAGGATTCCTGCGCCCGCTTTATCGGATACCGTTATAGGTCTATCATTGCCTCGGGAAATGCTACTTCGAGAGCCAGCATTCGGATTTCCTTTCGAAGTGCCACCCGATTCTTCTGTGACTGGGGGTTTAGAGCGACTAATAACGTGCAAGACCTGCAGCCTTATTCGTGCTCTAGGTTCTGTACGTTGCCCAAAGCCCAACATGTCTGCACACGACCGAAATCGATTGTCGGAAAAAGAACATTGAAATGTACGGCCAGACCTTTGCCCGCAACGAGGCAAGCCAGTGTGTGCAACCCTACCCTACCCACCTCCAACAAGCTTCTCCTCGTGGCATCTCTAATTGTTCTTGTCATAAAACCACTGAAAGTCAATACGTCCGGTGCGGTTACGTGGCATACCTCCAAGCCTAAAGCACATGAGTCCATGAGTACCTTGCCATCTCGCGAAGAAATTTCTTCCTTTCGGAGACAAGCCGCGGGTGTACTCATCCAGTGTATAGAACGTATGACTATAAAAACACAGACTCTGCGCCTCCCACAGACAACCTCAAATCCACACACAGTCAGTTTTGAACTATTTCTCTGAGTATCGGACACAAACGTCTCGGAACTTTACACACATAACGGTGACCCAGAGAACATCAAAATGCTGTCAATGGCTGCGCTTCAGATTATATTTCTCTTCGCTGTGACTCTCAACCAGGCTTTCGCAATGACGACAGTCCACCCTGAAGTTGTTCCCGGTGCGGACCTACCGAGTCTGAAGGGAGTTGGCATCACATCCGCGGAGTTGTACAACATGACCATGCCCAATACTAGTACCACATCCCCCCCGGAGACCACGGGACGCGCAGAGTTCTTATATTACTCCCTAGAGTCTTTACCATCCGCCGGACTCGTTGCCAGGTTCGATCCACGATGCGGCCCAAGCGATTACGCATATACGAATGTTCAGAGTTGCATCGCCTGTTACGACTACCTGCGGGGGCTCGGCCGCAAGACGTGCGGGGCACCACCTGGCGTAGAGCCCGCGCGATTCTGCACGTCGGGCAACGCAGCAGTTAGCGCGCAATCTTTGAATCCTTCGGGAAGTTCCTCGTATTGGTAGGAGCTTTTCAACTTCGGGGAGTACGCCGTGATGCCCTATACTAATTCGACGACGTAGTTCGGACGTGGCCATCGCAGTTTTATATACGATCGACCATTGCACCCGTCCAGACAAGTCGGTTGCCGGTAAGCTCGTGACAGCTGAAATATAAAGATCTCAGCTAATTTTGCGCCTAAGGGTTTCAAGCCGCCAATGAAAATGGTGATTTAATTGTTGGTTGTACTAATCCGAATTACGTTGGGCACTAGGCCCAAGGTCCTTCGACAGCTCCGGACAACACACGCTCCGCACTTGCGGAGGAGTTCTCGCGACAGGCGACCACAATATTCTTTGGACAAGGTCTCGCACCTTCATCCAGACACAACCTTGTCGCAGAAGACGGCCAAGATCGTCCGGAGGCTGGAGAGAGGAGCCCTGATTCCTTGATTCCATGAGCAGGTGGTAACGGTTTTTGCATTTCAAGATCGCAATTTCTGCTATTGTGTGGGTTGGTCGCTTTATCGACTTCCGTAGACTGACAACATGAGGATGGACGTATGTGTTCACGACAGTGGGCGTCACCTCTTTATGCAGTGCGTTAGGTCTTCCATCCCTAGTCCATCGTCGCTCGTGGAGAAGCTGGCATTTCGTTCTTCGGCCCACTTCTTTTGCTTTTCTTAATGAGACGTGCTATTCAATGAGGCTACTTATGAGCTATCTCCCGTGCTCGTCGTCTCCCGCTCAATCTCTACTGCATACGCATAATCGGCCCTGATACTCTTAGAATTATCACCGGGGAGGAGGTTGCCCGAGTCCGAGTCTCCGTCTTGCAGCCTCTGCCAGCTATCATCGGCTGGTCGGGCATGCACTGTGGCGAGGCTGAATCCTTGATCAGTTGGATTATGGAACCGATCACCAGGCGCTTTATTCGCGGATCGGCTGCCAAATGTCCACAAAGAGTTGCGGGCGGTATTGGATTTCTGCGTGCTGGCGGCACTGATGTTGCGACGGAAGAGACGGCGGAGGGAAGGGATGGAAGTGGCGATGCAGCCGACGCCGGTCTCGATGTCGGAACAGAGCATGATGTGAGCAACCCAGACTGCAAATATTGTCAGTCGACGCAGTACCGAAGCCATTTACCGGGACTTTTATACTCACACTTGAGATCGGTAGGCGAGCTAAAGCGGTTAACGTATGGAATCCGAACTATGGTAATGATAGACGCGCTGGACGGTCGTGAGTAGGGCTTACATCGCCTGCATGTGCATCAATCCTAGACAAGAAGGTAACTTACATAGACGCAAAAGACAGGAGAAAGAACGCCTGCACCTTCGCCTGCGTCTTCATCTGTGTGCGGCGTAGCAGAATTGCTGGCACCACGACTAAACCCAAGTCGGTCGCAATGGTGGTTCCCGTGGCAACTTGGCCGAGGGCGATGAACGTGGACGCCGGTGCGCAGTGGCCTTCGCCGTTAAGAATGAGATCAATATTCCAGATAGCCTGCACGGGTCGACAGTAGAGCAGTGTGCCGACGAACGTGACGAAGAACGAGGCCCACAAGACGAAAAGGAGGCACCAGACGGCAATGCGGAAGCCTGTGGTGGCAACGGAGATGCGGTAGATGCTGACGCAAGCGGAGGACTTGACCAGGGCAAGCGCGCCAACGTACACGAGAATCCAGATGATGTAGAACTCCATGGCGCGCTCTGACTGCCAGGCATTGAGCTGCGCATCGCGATATCCCAGGCCTGCCCAGCAGGCGTAGCAAGCCAGTCCGACATCGGCCGTGTACAATACCTGTCAAGGGACGCAAATTAATTTCGCCGTTGGTGGGATCGAGTTGCTCCAGAGTAGGTGTTGAGGGAAACGCACTGTTCCGGCTATAGCGAGTCCGTCGTCCAGACCGAGCACAGCATCGCGGAGTCGAGAGCAGGTTCGCAGGCCGGTCGTCAGAATGGAGAAGAAGACGAGCACGAGGGAGACGCAAACTATGGCGAGGGGTAGGCCGGTCGGGGTGATGAACCGAGCATTGGGGTCAACTGTCGAGTCCATAATGCTTGCTTGATTCCAAGTTGTATCCCCGTCCGGCCTGGGGCTTGAGAAGCGACGGAAGGAAAATGAGGCTGCCCGGAGAATGGCGCAGTTGTTTATCTTGTCCGAATCCAATTCACAGGGTACAGAAAGTTTGACTTGTACGGATATAACTTGCCAGCCTCCGGTTTGAAACTAATGATGGGATCCATTAGCCTCATGGAGCGATGGGCAAGACGCTTTGTGTGTCTAGTTCAAGCCGGCTTGGCTGCGGGCGGTCCAAGGACAAGGAAGCACACCCCGGGCCCCCGTAGCTCACTGTACACCAGTAAGGACTCGTGCTTGCATGTTAGAGGCCCGCCCAACTTGTATCGTGGGGCATGTGCGAGATCTATAGCCGAGGTGCAGCCTGCAGCAAAATTTGTTTGCAGTGTCTTGGGACTGACCTGCGAGAGGTTGTCGATCTGGAATGGGGCCAGCAGTCCAGGTTGCCCAGATCCCGGCCTCGGATGCCGCGCGGCGTGCCCCGGTGCCCGTTGTGTTCTTTCTTTCATATTTCTGTGCCAATCGGGCTGGACTTGTTGAAACCAGCTTCCCGGGATACCCCACTGACAGCGGAAGCGAGATGACAAGCGCCCCGCGCCACCCGCATGGCGCCGCATGATGGATCTATGTGGTGGGTCTCGCTCCATTGTGAGAACCTCTTGACAGCACGAGGACGCCTGCCTTGCTTGCCCGCCGCCGATAGGATTGCAAAATTGTTCATGCAAGCGGTTTTGGAACATGAGCCCTTGTGCGCTGTTGACTCCATTTCGCCGTGGCAATTTGGCCACGGCTGCAACCAGCCAGTGTCGCCATGTTCGGTGTTGCCCGCAGCCTCCCATCGCCCCACGTACCCACAAGGGCAGTGAAAGCAAGTTTTGACCCTGACTGACCCTTGTCCTTGCGGGACGTCCAGGGCCAGGCAGGACCTTGACTTGCAGGGGCAATCAACGACGGGCTCGGCGACAATGACCGGATTGCCCTGCGCGGCCGATGATGTTTTCACCCTGAGCTACCTTCGTGGCCGCCTGACCGAAACCGTGGCCAGCGTGTAAACCACAAGAGGGCAGGTGCAGCGGATTCATTTACTGCATTGCAAGCCCTCAAGCGAGGACATGGGGTCAGTCCGTACTCCGCAACCATTGCCGGTTCGCACACGACGCCCCGGGCCGTTCAGAACACATTTTGGCAAAGGGAAAGGTCGCCAATTTGGCATTTCTGCAGGTCAAGACATGCCCACTCATTAGCGGACAATGTGCGTCCGAGTGGGTCAAAACGCCAATCAAGCAGCGCTCCCAGTAACGGAGTTTACACTCCGGGTGGCTGCCGTATACACGAGGTATTTGCAGGTTTCAATTCAACCTTGGACTCGAATATTTCGCTAGGAGTCAGCTAAGGAGACTTGCCTTCGACCATTTGACTACGTATTGTATTCTGCTGATACAACCTCGTCAGCATCGTCCGTGCCCTTGGACTCGACTTTGGGTGGACGCGGTGATTCGCTTTGCGACCGTACGTCCCACCAACTTTCCGACCTTTGACGTGAACATCAAGTTGATAGTTAGTTGGAAGGGCTGATCTTGACCCTAACGCCCGTCGAGCCCGCCTCAGCCATCGGCACAAACATATCGTGATCGTAGCGAACGTCTCGGTCTGTCGTCTCAAAGAGGTTCATGTGAGGCATGACACGCAAAGCCACCGCTGCGAGAGCCAAGTTGAGCTCACACAACGCTAGACTAAAATTTTATACCTATTAGCCTAAAGGTCGAGACAGGACACAGGGTTCATCACAGGGATAGAGATGGGGTCCACTCACTTCATACCCAGACAGGCTCGACTGCCCTTGGAAAAGGGCAACATCCCGCGCTCAAGCTCGGTCCGGTTTTCGTCCCCCAGCCAGCGCTCCGGTGCGAATTCTTGCGGGTTTTTGAAGAGCCGATCGTCCAGGTGCGTGATGGCCGCAGACATGCCAATGGCGTACCCCCTAGGAATTACGTGCTGGACGGGCTTCTTGTTGAACTCGCCCTGGTACACAAGGTTCTCGCGAGTAGGCACGCGGGCGGTGCGGGCTGCTACACCAAAAGAGAGGCGCAACCCTTCTTGGATCACCGCGCCCATAAAAGGAAGCTTCTCGAGCACCGTCCACGACGGGAGCTTCAATGGGTCATCGACAACGCCCGACAGTTCGGCGCGGAGCTTCTGCAGTAGCTCCGGCTTTGTCAATAGGTGGTAGGTGATGACGCCCAAGGCCCAGCTCGTAGTTTCGGTGCCAGCACCGACAACGGCGGTAGCCTCATCAGCCAGGCGCTGTGGCTGTTTCTCGTGCGTCTCGAGGTCGGACTCAAGGAGCGAGCCGAAAATCGTCGGCCGGTCGTACTGGATACCGGCGTCCATATCGGCCTTTGTCTTCTTGATCATATTGGGGATCTCGATCTTCAGAGTCCGGATCAACAGTGCTGTGTCCTCGGGAAGGTAGTCGACCAGGCTGCCGTATTGATGGACGCTGCTTAGCAAATTGCCAGAACTAGCCGTCTAAGATCAAAGGGCGTTTGGGACTCACTACTCGCCCAGTACCGTCAAGGCCTTGAGAAATGGAAAGAAGCGGAAGATGAAGACAGGCTTGAGGATCGCGGCGGTCGGCTCGCGGAAGTTAGGGTACCATCCCTCCTGTTCGAGGAACCCGAAGGGCTCGCCGAAGCAGTAACCCGATATGGCATCCGAGGTAAAGCAGCTGTACGCCATGGTCACGTCGAAGGCAGGTTTGTCGGCATGCGCCAGCAATTTGTCGCAGAGTTTCTGGGCGAGAGCTCGAACGTCCGATTCAAGCCGCGAGATCATGCTCCTCGAGAAGAACTTCGCCAGCGGTATGCGGCGGATGCGGTGCAAATCATGATCCATGGTACCAAATCCAGAGTGCCCCAGACTGGCCAGTCGTCAGTATTCGCGATTGGCCTCGTTTGGCGCGGGCATTGGCAAGCAGGAAAACCTACGCTGATCCGTTGATCTGGTGCTGCGGCTTGTCACGCTTTCTGCCGCTGGTGGCGTAAATCTCGTCGGCGAATTTAGGGTCATCGCAGTGAACTTCGTGTGGACTGACGCGAACGATGGGGCCTAAACGCAGGACTGATTAAATCGCTTTCGCTTCATATGCCTGGATTGCCTGGACATGTAGCTGCCGAGGACCGATCGTCATCGAATTTGCTTACCATATTTCTCGTGCATGGACCGAATCTGGCCACTATAACGGCCAAAGAGGATTACGTCGTGATAGAACTCGGGCCAGTATGTGGCAGCGGCGAGCTTCGGGCCGGGTATTCGGTACAGTGGATGGAGTGGCGAGATGTTGTACACGCCGCGGAGCAGCTGGTAGGCAATCCATGTCGCCGCGAGAACGAGACCGATGATTGCGGCGCCGCTGCCGGACGCAACGGCATCAAACATGACCTTGACGGGCTGGAATGCCTGTCGTTTGTCGTGGAGCAGTCGAACGGAGCTGTCTGTGCTGCGCGCTGATGAATGGGCGACAAGAGTAAGAGTGGAAGAGGAGCATCAGGAAGACGGGCAGGGCCGAGGTCGGCAAGGTGACGGGGCTGTCCAATCAAGAAGGGTGCATTTCTGCAGCTCACCAAAATCGGCCTGCCGCTGCTGTTCAATCGCATGCACGTGGTTCTCCTCAACAGTCCCTGTTTTCATCCGGCGCACCATCTTGGCCGCGCTGCCAAAGTTGTCGGAAGCAAGGACGGGTCTGGCCAACCTTGGGTGCGGCACGAAAAAAGGGGACGGGTGAATGCACAAGCATCATCCTTGTTAGCGCTTCTGCAGCAATGCAAGGAACAGCCCCACGGTGCTCCGAATAGTAGCTCGTGGCGCCACAGGTACCTCATTGTCCGCGTCGAGATTCAGCAGTCTGGTGCGACGCGGTGCAAGACCATCACCGCGCCTTCAACTATCCCATAAATAAGCGGCAGCGATTCCGAAAACATGGATATTCCGTACGGCATGCCACAGCGGAATCGGCCTTTCCAGTCGCGCACCACGTCGCATCCAGAATGAGCGGGGACGAAGCATGCAGAGGTGGCGGGCTGGACCTGGCATATTGCCACAAGCGTCATACCGTCGCCTCACTCCAATTTGGTCAAAACGCTGTCTCAATTTGACGGGCAACGTAAGTATTTCATTCCCATCGTTCGGCCTTGAACTCCCGAGTCAACGGCTGGACAGCGCTCGCGTCTGGTAGGGGCTTTGCTGCCGCGCCCCTGGCGAGCGTTGCATCTGTGTCGAGAGTGCCGCAATCGCCGTGCCGTAATGGAAGAAGTGCAGTCCACGACGGCCTTGACGACTGCGCACGCCCCGTCTCACTGGTGATGCATGATACAAGTACATACCTCAATTTTACATCTAGCAAGCCGCGACCGTGTCAAGATGTGGTGCTCCGCTGCCTGGCGCCGGCCGAGTCCTTGGAACAGAATGCGCGCACAGTCGAAGGACGAGACAGGTGAGCCATGGCTCGCAAGAGAGCTGTGGTTATTGAGGGATCTTCCCCTCACGTAGTCTGGGAAGTTGTACTCTGCGTTCAGTCTGTATCTGCTCTTGCGGTGAAGGACAGTCAAGCCATCTAACCCTAACCCTAACTTCAAGTGTAATTTGTCAAGTAACACCTTGACTACTACGAGCGACTAACTTAAAGTGTTTGCATAGGCCAGGATAAATACATGCACCCAACAACAGGATAACTTGTGACTCAATAGAAGGCTAGTTGCTACGAAGAGGTAGTCCGTACATTGAGTGGTGACTCTGCCGTCAATGCCTGCTCCAATTCCTCATCCGTTTTGGAGCAATGGGTACACGTACACTGTCGCCACGCAACCTCCCTATCGGAGCCCGCAAGCCGTAGCAGGCCCGCCATCCTTCGCCTTACGCTATGCCGTGGAGGCACAAGGGGCTCCATGTCCCAGTCTCCGACAAAGACGTCATTCAGTGACCTAACTTCAGAGTCCTCACTCTTCCTTACAAAGGCCGCCCGACCGTCCGTAGGGCTGAGACTTTCCCGGAAACCGAGGCTGGTGCTGCCGGCGGCCAACCTGCCGCGAACGATTGACCGGGTAGCGAGATGGACGCAGCGCGTGAATGAAAGAAAGACGTCCATGGCGACGAGACCGTAAATGCGGTTTTCGGCCCATTGGCGCTGAAGATCACCGGTCGAGTGACCGCCCGATCCCCAGGGGGACCCCCTCTCATCTATGTACAGACTGCGCGGCCGGTACAGATGCGAGCTGAGCAGCGTCATGGCGCTGAAGGGATCCTCGAAGACGTGGTCCGACATGCGAATCACCGCCGTTGTCATCTGCTGGAGGTGCCAGAATCTGGATTCGTTGTGCCCACAGGTCAGGCCGCATTTCGTAGCGAGGGTCAAGTCCACGCGGGTCCCGAATCCATCCTTGCCGGTGCGAGCCGTTGGGAGCGTAAGCTTTCGGGCTAACGCGAACGAGACAAAGTCTTCAGCGTGGTGAAGCGACGACATGTAGGCCCCCAAATCTGAGCGGCGTAGGCGCAACCCATCGCCTGCATCGTCGTGCAGCAGCGGAAACGTTGACGGGGCGGCGAATGAATGCAAGTAGGGTCGAAGAGTAGGGTTGTGCGCAGGAGATCCGGGTGCTTCGCGTCCCGATGGGTGGTAATGTACTGAGCGGAAGAACTCTTGGCCCAGGAGTTTGTTGCAGAACTTCTGGCAATTGTTGAGAAAGGGACTCCACTCAAGTCTCGTGGACTCGTCACACAGAAGCGTCGATATGAGACATAGTTGCCGGTCAACCGTATCGCTCAGGTCGTTGCGCAGGGCCGATGTAATTTTTGCCGCGGCATTGTGTAACCTCGTGCGCAGTGAAGCGGTTGACATCATGTTGAGACAAGCGTCGTAGTCCGTGGCAGCTTGCACAAGCAGGTAAACCGCTCGGTCCTCGACGGGGGCCCATGACGGCATGGCTTTCGCGAACAAGCCTCCGCAGACTTGTTTGGCAACGGCCAGAGTCCGTGTCGTATGCCGCCTCTCGAACGCCATCCATATCTTTCGTCGATGTTGCCAGGGTTCCAGTGGATCTGGACCCACGGCAACCTTGCGGATAACATCGGGATCGTCGTCGGGCCAGTCTCGAATCATGACGTGAGGTCCGTCATAAGAGATATTGGGCTGCTCACGAGGGGTGATCAAGGCACCACGTTGAGTCCTGAGGGAGTGATGTCAGCTGAGTGCAGATGCTGTGTCATGTCTGCTGTTCATGTTCATGTTTCGAGCTGTGTGTGGGGGTATCTCAATGTTGGGCATCAACAGACCCTTTGACACCATTCTCCACGGTTATCGTCCCAAACTGAAAGGCCAGGTGAACGACTCCTGCAGGAATCAACTCTCTCGTCTTCCTCTTGCTTACTCTGGATAAGACCGTCCCGGGCAGCGCATAGCGTGATTCCTTTGCTTGCGTACTGGCCTCCTTGGCAGCAGCTCTGGCCTTCTTTGCATCTTGTATTACCCCCTCCGTTACCTTTCCTACCTTCGCTGCTTCTTGCACCCTTCTCTCGGCATTGCTCGCCTTTACGTGCATCTCGTGGGCTATCTTTTCAGCAATTTTAGCAGCCTTGTCATCCTCAAGTGTGGCAACCTCATGCGAGAAACGCTTGGCTTCATATGATCTCGCGTTTGTTGAGTTGGTCAGAATCAGGTGATACTCTCCAAACGAGCTCTTTGCACTGTCGCCCCTCTCGACGACGCAAGCTGAACCGCGGCTGCTCACTGAAACCCGATCTATACAGGAGAAGCAAAGGCGGACTGGCGCAATCGGAAGTCGAGGAAGTAGATGGGAGGCGCTCGGCTGAGCATCCTGTGGAAGAGCTAGGCATTTATAATAGTTTTTGTGAGAGTTCCTGGCTGTATGATGAGTTACGTTAAGAAGCTCAGACTGGTATTACATGTTTGAACATGAAGCAATGACGTCGGTGCATTGCCAGCATTGGTTCTCACCTGTCAAGGCACCCTTTAGCACACTCGAAAAAGTGCGTACGGATACATTCTCCGCATTGGGAGCAGTGGAGTGCGCGAAACACTGTGCCACGTTCAATTTCCTCGACTACGTGCGAGATAATGGAGTAAGCAAGTTGCAGACTTGGACTTTGGTGTGTGAGAAGAGATAGCTATGGTTACCTTTGGGAAGCCCCATCATTGATGGGTAGAAGGGTTGGCGGTATTGGTGGACGAAGTTGATATCTAGCCAGCCTTTGGAATTGCAGTTAGCTCGCACATACTGCCAGTGGCGAGTGCCATTGAATTGACGTGCATTCAGAATATTAGGATACGTACCCATTGCTTGAAGCATTTTTCTCGCTCGCGCCTCGATAAGGGGCTTCGTGTTGATGTGCTGTTCTGGAAGATTTCAACGGGTTGACTCGTACCCGACTGGATGGGACAGCACTGGCAGCTTGTACCTTTGCACCAACTATCATACTCTGCCAGGATAGATTTGCGGTCTTCATCGCTGAGATGGACATATGCTGCGAGTGTGAGGGTTAGTAAACAGCGCCAGGACCTTGTATCTCCTATCACAGGGGATGCCTACACCATGCCTTGGCGAACTGATTCAGCCTTTCCGGAGCGGGCCAGGCTGGGATCACTTCCACGGGCGTCGGGTTCGGGGCGCATAACATGAGCTCTGTGAGCGCGGGGATGAGCCCCCGGATCTCCTTCTCGACTGACTTCCAGTATAGATCTTGCAGGAGTGGCATCAATGTCTCGACACCTTCACCGTTCTCCCGCCACCTGACCGTCTTCGGACCAACCCTGGTGGCGCCTTCATTTCGTGGACCCTCAGACCCGGTCATTTGTCCAATGTTGCTTCGATGTGGGCGAATATGTCAATGCATGTATGGACTAGATGCGCAAACTTGCAAAGCGGTCCGGCGCAGTGGTGCTCTGTGCAGGCTATGATTAAAAGAGAGAGCTGTTGGTGTGTCCGACTCTCACGTACAAACAGATGCAAGGGTTGAAATGGATCACCATTACACCTGGTCAAAAGTCCCTCAAAAGTCCCAAAAGGGCCGACGGACTGGACACGGCTGAGTCGATATTCTGCATCAAGTGTGCTGGCTGACGGGCGAAGCAGCTTTATTATTGACTCGTGCAGAAGTAGCGTGAAGCCACACGAAAAGCGACCAACGCGAAGGTGCGGCTGTGCGTGCTGCCTTCCAGACTCCCCAGCTTAGCAGTACAGATTATGGCTCCAGTCTTGTGCAGGACCCAATGGGAAATTGGAATCGATTTCAGCAACTTTGAAGGCTGAGCTCTGATGAGGCATACTCGTATTGCTCTGCTCCAAGACAGCCGCAGTTTCCTCACTGCCTAGTGCCAGCCTGCGTTGGTACTTGTATACAAGCCTTTTAGATCGGCCCCCTCCAGCCTTCAATCGCCACATGGGCTCCATGGACGAGATTCGGAAGAGTCAGGATCAGGGTTACCCAAACATCAATTGATATCGGCAGCAAAGATGGAAGACGGCCAAAGAGGACTGAGGAAAACTCTGGGCTCGCTTTTTGGAAGGTCCCGCACGGCCAGGACCGCTGCCGCGCAAACCACCTCTTCCGCCGGCGTCAGCGTGCGAGAGTCCGGAAACAGCGGTCTTAAGACTTCAACCTCTGTGGGAGACTCGCTCCACACCACAGATCTTGAATCCTCACAACGGCTGACAGCTCCTTTTGTGGCCTCGATCATCGGAGGCAATGGGTTGACTACCATATCCGAAGGCATCCGCATAGTCAACAAGATCAAGACCGGGCTGGACGAAGCTGATCAAGGCAAGGCCAGGCATTCCAATGCTCTTCCGACTACATGTACATGCAGCGGCGCTGCTGGGATCGACTAACTGTACAACAAACCACTAGATCGGGATGGCAAATTTCTGCAAAGTGTCTCCGTCGACGGCCTCAGATTAGCCTCTGAGTACTTTGCCAACGCGGCCTGGCCCTCGAATCTTCCGTGGATCAGATCGTGGCCGAGCTCTGAGGTCGACAGCCAATCCATGTCCGGATTCCAAGAGCCGTTGCCGAGCCACATGGAGCATACGAAAGCACAGGACGACTTCCCGGAGATTCTCAAAATTGCCGCTGACGCTTGCGACCGCGTCCGACGTTCGGCCTCGCACGTTGTCCACTTGGAGGAATCTGACGCAGCCACGTCCATCAGTGGAGCGCCCATACGCCTGCCGCGCGACAGACTTGGGCTCTTCAAGCCGACCGACGTCAGTTTCACCATCAGCGACGTCCCTGGTGCATATGCCGGCGGTACGGTGGTCCTGGCCATCAGAGGGAGCAGTACATGGATGGACTGGATGGTGAACTTTAACTATGGCATGGTGAATGCTGAAGACCTCACCGCGAGTAACTACTTGCCAAATGAAACGGTTTCGACTTTTAGCCAGCTAACAATCGAAAGGGCATATCGGGGCTCAAGGCACACGCAGGTTTGTATGCTGTGGCCTCTCTAATGCGACAGAAGACTCTGGACGCCTTGAAGAGCCACACCGGATTCCCACATCGCCAGGTCGAAGGAAAGAAGCCCAGACTGGTGTTCACAGGACATTCAGCAGGTTTGGACCCTTCAGTCTGCTGTCGTACCCTTGATCCATGGTTGCTAACAGACATGCGCTACATGTGCGCAGGGGGAGCCGTGGCAGCGCTGCTTTGGAGCTGCTGCGTCGGTAATAAGAGGCTCCAGCAGCAAGCAGGTAATACCTCGGTATTTCCAACACGTGCGTTTTCGAACCCCCGCATTGTAGCGCTTGCAAAGCCTAGACACCGCAGATTTCTAACAGTTTATTAATTTCATGTTGGAATCAGGCTTTGCGTCCATCCATTGCATTACCTTTGGCGCGCCTCCCATCACCTCCGAACCCTTAGCGCCGTTTCGACGGCACAGTCCCACAGACGAGCAGGACATGATGGTCAGCATAATCAACGAGGGCGACCCTGTTCCCCGCGCTGATATCGCCTACGTTGAAACACTGCTCCATCTCTACGCAAAAGCCAACCGTGACAATGGGTTCGTGCAGCAGCGGTCTCACCTTTGCAGGCTGCCCCCCATGTCGCTTCATGTCGGGGCCAGCATCCTAGGGCTGAGACTGGTTGCGGCCGACACTGAGGTCGACGGCACGTACCTACCGCCGCAGGTTCGAGCGGTCGGTGTCCCGCAAACCATCCTCGAGAAAAGCCTGGCGGGGAACTCTCGCGCGCACTCCATGACTGTTTACGCTGCCAACGTTGCAGCCTTTCTCGGACAAGATAGGCCGTCGTTTGAAGCGAAGGTGTTCACGACGAAGAATATTACCTCTGTCGGCACGGGCACATTGAGCCCAGAGGGAGAAGATGCAGGACTCCAGTTTGGGGGGTTTAAGGAATGGTTCCTTTCTAATGACTTGGACCGTCAGGATGGTTGGCAAGTGTATGGCGTGGTGGATCACTGCTGGAGTCTGGTTGCATAAAAGGTAGCTCTATTTATATACGTTTAAGCACCGAATGCACGCTTTCGCTATATAAATGCGCGATATATAGGGTTAGGGTTAGGGTTGTTACGGGTAACTATACCTTAGTGTGCTATGCGGGTTGCAAGTATAAGGATAAGTAGGGGCGTTCTACCTATATCTCTCTATAGCAATAATAACAGCTCAATCCACTCTTCAACAGGACCGTCATGTTGCTCCGACTGTCCGCCCATAGGTGCCCCGACAACACTGCAGGCAGGAATGGCCTGGCGAGCTCAACCATCCCACACACGAAGAAGGGCTGCTTGGTTGCAATGCTGCCTTGTGTTCCAGGCATATTTCGCTACTTGGCTTTGCCCTAGTTGCTCGCAAGACCTTCCAAGCCGGGCCTCTTCGTGGCGTGCGCGTACACCAGGCCACAACCAAATTTTGCTTACCTCAATTGCGCCTGCAACCGTTGGCTGCCGCGACGCTTCCAACTGCTCCACCAGCTGGCCAACATTTATGCAGGTCGTTGCGACGGCGAGTACTGCCACTGCCAGGCGGGCGCAAAACAGACGTGGGGGACTTCGTGAGTGAAAATGGGCATGGTTTAAATGCGCCGCGGTTTCAATGAAAAAGTTTTCGCGCATCAGCTAGATACGTGGGAGGTTACGCCCACTTACACGCCAAACATGATGCCACACTAGGCAATCTGCCTTCACCGAGCACGTGTTGGGGCACAGCAAGCCACGCGCCCATTTCGGCCAGCGCCCGAACGGGTCCATCGGGCCAACATGACGCGGAATGATATTGCGCCCGTTCTCGCCTCGCAATTCGACAGCGAAATGACGTGTGCGCTGCGCTGCACTGCCATCGGGATCGCCGATATCCGTTACAAGCAAGCTTCGAATTGTCGAGTATGCGCGCATTCGTCAAGGAACTGGGATTGACATGTTGTCCGCAGCAAAGGGAAAGGGCTGTGGAGGGGCTGTGGTGCGGGTTCCGACCATGACTTGGCGTGGAGGGTCTGCTGGGAGTCTTCACGGAGCGCAGGTTGTACACTACGCATTCGCAACAGCAGCCTTACCCAAGCCGCAAGGGACCTAAATACGTTGATTGAGGAGCCGCGGCCCTGTTTTTATATAGGAAGTAGCCACATTCGGGGTGTCTCCTGGCCGGTGAGCGCCGTCGGCATGGTGAGTGGCTTTGAGGTGGGCCGCCGACTGGTGGGTGCTAAAGATTTACAAATACTTGTCAGTACTCTGTACCGTGGTACGAGTATGCTCGAGGGTTGGTTCTACGAGGCCATGTCGGTGACGGATGGTCCCCGAACACGGTGCCATTGGGGGCTATTGGTAGTCAGGGCGAATGGCTTGACGATGCCGTTGAATAAACAGGGTTGCAATTATCACCTTGCTGCGGAACGTGCCGGGGACGCAAGGCAAAAAAGGTGGACCTCATTCTAGACCTGCGTCGATTGCGACACACATCACGTTCCTTGACTATTGGTCGACCTTGTCATAATCCCGGGCGGCGCAATTTGACCCATGCTACGCAGTGGCTTGATGGACTGCAAGCCGTTAGGTGAATCTGGCCATGAACCTGCCAAACTATAAACACCTGACCCAACTAATCGAGTTCATTCTCGCTCGGACCTGAGATCTATGGAGCTTGCAGCCGGTGGAATGCTGCCAGTACGAATTTGCAGGGTTTCTGCAAATCGTGCCGTTATGAAGCTTCTGGCTGTTGTTATCTCCGCAGTCTCGTTCTTGAGCGCCGGGGCAGCACATTATGACGGCCTGGACGAACGCGAGCCCATGCAATCGACAGAACATGTTGCCCGCCCCCATGTTGGAAATGTTCCTTATGGTGAGAACTATCCCGACTATAATTGGAACCTCGTGCTAACCAATGAAACAGGCACGATCATAAATCAGTGCAAGTCGCCTGGCCTTGTCGCTCTTGCGTTCGACGATGGCCCATGGGTATTCACAAACCAGTTGCTGGATCTTTTGGATCAACTTGGAGTCCATGCCACGTTCTTTGTCACCGGTGATAATATGGGCAAGGGCCGCATCGACGACTGCAGCCGTCCCTGGCCATCCATACTATACCGCATGTACGAATCGGGGCACCAAATCGCTAGCCATACGTGGACGCACCAAAACCTCGATCACGTCAATCACGCAGTCCAGCAAGCTGAAATGGTTAATAATGAAATCGCCTTGCAAAACCTGTTCGGGTGGATTCCTACGTATACGAGGCCGCCATATCTAGAGTGTACCGCCAAGTCGGGCTGTCCGGATTTGCTGGGCAACCTCGGCTATCACGTCATTACTAGCAACATCGATACTAAGGACTATCTAAACGACGGTCCTTATCAAGTCCAGAAATCGAAAGATCTCTTTGACGCCGGCATATCTACGCAATCCACGAAAAACAGCTACATCGTTTTGGCTCATGACACACACAGTCAGACTGCCACCAATCTCACGGCTTTCATGACACGAACAGCCAAGGATCGAAGCTATAAATTAGTAACGGTGGGAGAATGTCTCGGAGACCCAAAGGCAAACTGGTACCGATCTGTACCGAATGGAAAGCACGCTTGTAAGAGCATCGGAAGCTCCACCACAGCCGACTCGTCAACGTCTACGGAAATGGCCAACACTACTGAAACTGTGCCTTCTTCTACTGAATCCGCGCCTTCTTCCACGAGAACCACAGATACCACTTCAACCCAATTGGTTCCATTGGCACAGACGAAGGCGGCAAGCTCTGGAGTCGGATTGACCCATATCTGCCGCCACTGCATTTATCTAGGCGTGATGGTATTCATTCTAGGAATGCACGGGATTTAGACGGGCTTTGGGATATATAGACCAGAATTTTATGCATTGGCACGTAATGCATAAATACATCGTCGACTAAGGGTTTAGTCTACCACTCCTGACGCAGTCAAGTCTTACGATCCGAAGAGGATCTGTTGCAGACGTCCCAATCGGCAACGAGCACTCTCGCGATCCGCGCAGCGTGCCAAGCCAGTGGAGAGCGCAGACATGTCGTCGGCGGTTCCACTCTGTTGTGCCTGCGGGCCGCCTGCATGACATCAGTGTGCTCCTCGGGCATGTGGTCAAGATGTGGTATTTGACCAACAATCCACTGGTGATGCATTGTCGCTGCGTAAGGCGTAACAGTTGTCGCGCTGTCCCCACCAATCATCGCCGCCGCTGGAGCAAATCGCGTCCAGGCTGTGACACGGAATGCGCTCAGGGGTACCCGAACATACACAACTTTCAGCGTCTGGGTGGTAGAGTACAGTACTGTATCGAACCTAGGAGCGTGGCTTTGCAGTGCGCAGCGTGCATCCGGTCTACAAGACCATACTAGCCTACTAGCCACGCCATGCTCCGTCAACGCCAAAGTAGCCGACCGACACCATCTCACGACAATGCGACACGGACTTGCCGAATTCGGAACGGAGCGTTAGTGCAGCCCCGTCTGCGCATGGCGGAGACACGCCACCTTACGTTTCCAATCTGTAGGAGAGCACTGTGTGTGTCAGTTCGTATCAGCTCTCGGATGACCGCATGCAGGGGCTTCGGCGCACCAGCCAGTAGCTGTCGTACGTCGCGGCAAGTCGAAACGCTCCCGGCCGGCATTAACGCGCTTGGCATTAGACCTGTTAGGGACGGTGAGGCTAGTGTGACACCTGTTCCGCTATAAGTTAAATAAATCTCACTATATAGGTCATGTCCGCTAGAAGAAGCTAAAGGCGTGACTATCTTAGCGTCTATTAACGCCTAGACTATCTAAAGACACTTTAATCCTGTACTAATCAGGGCGCGACGCTAACTAAATTATAACTATATAAATATAGGTAAGAAGGGTAAGCAGTAAGGGGGTGACTTTATAATAGACAGTAAGATATATTAATATAGTATTAATATTATAATTCTATAAATTATAGTCTATAAATAGCTATAGCGAAAATCGTAGTAAATTTCTTTTATATAAGTTATAATATATATAAATAAGCCGGAGAGTTATATAGCTAGGTATAGATATATATTAAGTAATTAAGGTTAAAATATAATATAATATAATTAAGTATAATTACTTTTAGTAATTTATAAATATAAATTCATCCTTATTATAGCGCTAGTATTATATTATATTTTAAAGCCAAGTGTCTCGGTTCTGGTCGCTAAACTCGGCGTCTTTCGACGCCGCCTTTGGCGGCGACGACCGTTGGGGTGCCAGCCGACCACACCCCACCCCTCGGTCGTGTCAGCACACCTGCGCGCAGCATTTCAGGCGCTGTCTTCCGCCGCGCCTTCCACTGCGGCGCCAGCCAAGCTACACCCTGCTTGTTCAGTTGCGTCGACGTTCCAACAGGGCCGCCCGCCGGTGGCCGAAGGCGGCCACCCACACGACTTGAGACTGGAAGAACATATAAGGTGGCCGCTCTCTCAATCGCTTGCTAATCTGCCATCATTTCTCCTCTACCCTCGTATTGCAACGCCTTCCTACTCTTTGCGCACGTTCTTGTGGGCGACTGGCTGTACAACATCGCTCTTCATTGCTGCCCTCGTCACTCCATCAATCATGGATATCCATAGAGATATCGCGGCTGCCTTACAGACCGCTGCAAGGAGCCGACATAGACAAACTTTGGCTCGAAAGGAAACGGAAAGCGCCCATCTACGCGCTCGAGGGTATCACGACCTGCGCAAAGAATTGAACGAGACGGATTTTTTACCGCCTATAGACGCCGACACAACGAAGGCCAACATTTACTACATCAGGAAGCGGTTTGAGAGGTAAACTTGCGTTCGTGACTTGCAGCAAAGTGTACGTGCGCTGATGATGACATTGCCAAGGTTCTGCCATGCTAAAAAACATGGCTGCTGGAGGAGAGCAATCAGGCGCCGCTACTGCGATAAAGGGCTGATCATGACCTTTCTGCGATGGATTTGCGAAACGTACCTCCAGCCAAGACGCAGGCCCGCGAAAAAGAAGACTATCAACCAATATTGGCGAGACTTCAAGATGCTGTACCGCCGACGTAACAAAGGTCGCGTTGTGAATGCCAACGACTGCCAGGAGATCAGGAAGGTTCGAGTCTGTGAACCGTACATTTCCAGCATCGGGCTAACTTTCCTAGTACGTCGACGGTATGTTGAAGGAGGAGTTTCACTTAGATGATCAGCCAAAGAACAAGCCAGTCATGGGTATTGATGACCTCCTGCTGGGCTTGACGCATCATTGGTCTCGCGACAGGAGTGTCTTCCCGACAGAAGATGACCGCCTTGACGTCTCTGCCATTATGTTGTTTCAGGCGTACACGGCTTGCAGACCGGCAGAACTCGTTGACGGGACAAAATGCAGGGCAGGCAGGGACCCAATGATTGACGAACCCGAAGTGGAAGTGGTTGTCCCTGTCAAGTCCTTTAGCACACATGAGCTCTGCTCTACTGAAGGAGCCAAGCTTGACGGCAGCACAAGAGCCACTCTCCTGAGGCTGTCGCCGGCCGGGCACCCTGGACGGCGATGGGAAGAAGACGACTCTGATTCAGATACAGGATCCAAATCGGCTTATGATTCTGACTCGGCTAATGCCAGCGACGATAATACGAGCGATACGGAATTCAGTGATGATGATACGAGTGATGCCGAATATCATGACGACAATCCAGTGGATGCTGTGCCGCACGAGCACAGAAAGCCTGGGCTGACTCCTCCTTTATCTGACCCGAACGAAGATGAGGAGCCCGCTCGAAAGCACAAGGCTTTGTGCTATGAGGACATTGTTCTCTGGATTGTACAGGACCCCAACAAAGCGGGAAGAGATGTTCTGGCAATGGAGGTTCTCTTTCGGCACCATAAAGGAGCAGACAAGAAACCCAAGCCGTATGTTTCACAGCTCAAGCTGTTTTGGTGATATCTGCTGACAAATCGAAAGCACTGTCTTCTTGTTTCGCGAGAACCCGCTTCCCATATTGTGTCCGATAGCTCATATCTTGGCACGAGCTATACGGGATGATGCGGTTGAAGTAGGTGGCTTTCGGCACGCCTCGCCGTTCTTTACTTCCAATATACGCCGGCAGGCCGTGAAGGTAAACTGGAAGCCGTCGATGCTCAAGACACCAATCTTTCGCCGATCTGTACGGACGGCTGCGGGGTGGCTCAAATCAGCCACGGATCCCATGAAGTATTCCGCGTACGCCTTTTATCTCGACAGGATCGGATCCGATTTGGGATCGGAAGAGAAATGGACGTCATACTGCCTGCGGCGTGGGAATGCGAATGCTCTGCTTATGGTCGCACCTAATTCGATCGTGGACCAGGTCATGAGACACGACCCGCTAACTGGGTGTCTGCAAAATGCATACCAGAACCATCGAGTTGGTTTCAACACGCAGGACGCATTCCTCGAGAGGGACCCCTCAGCCGACGGATTGACGCGAGCTTTCACCCACATGAGTATTCGATGCAACCCAGAAGTTCCCAAGGAAATTCCCAAATCCGAAATGGACAAACTAGAACCAGATCCAGAAGTCGTTGAACTCACGAACCAGGTAAAACGCAAGGCCATCCAGATTCGACAAGAGTACGGCTTCATAAAAAATGCACCAAAAGAGGTCAAGCAGGAGTACGAACAACTGCGTCGAGACCTCAAGAGCGCCGGAAAGGCTTTCCGGGATGATATGACCAAAGTGTTCCAGAACGAGTATCGTCGTCGTATGCACAACGCTGAACTGGAGCGACAGTTGAGCGGGATCGCCATTGAGGAGCATACCGAGCCGTCTATCCAGCATGCTCTCGAGGAGCGGACTCAACTTCAAGCTCTCCTGTGTGACTTCGACACAAACATGAGTCTCGAAGATATCACAGATCGAAAAATCCGGGCCATCGACCTCATGGTCCATCTTGCTTCGCGCCGCGAGGTGCGCAGGCCCCAGCCTTCACCGTCGCCCTGTGAGATTGATGACAGTCCTGCGCGCTCTCCCGATCCGGAGCCATTGCCGAAAATGGAGGAGATCCCTTTGGTTTTGGGCAAGACACAGTGCATCTACTGCGTTGGAGACGAGCAACTGCCGTACGTTGCCCGCATGCGATCCTTCAACCGGGTGTCACACATGATGGACCACGTCGAGAAGGTCCATCTTCGGCATGAGCCATCTCGCACGCGATTCGTATGCCGCCATCCGCAGTGCAAGCATTTGGGCGACTTCTTGACCAGTTTGGATCACTTCAAAAACCACGTGCAGACGGTGCATGGTGTGAAGCTTCGGAAATGATCGCTCTCTCGGCGTGAGCACCAGCGCGCCTGTGAGGCGGTGAAGGTGAAACTGTTCACCTTCACTTGCACGACTTGATAGGGAATACAACCTAGCTATCTTTACTTTAGGTGTATGTGTCATTGCAACGGTAGAGGAATCCTTGAAATGCACCCCGCCGACCAAAACAGCCCAGATGCTGGCGGCTGCTCCCATTGGGACTAAACTGGGGATGCTGTGGATTGCCTCTTGACTAGCATGACAAGAGATGAGGGACTTAAACTCTTAGCCAATATGCACGCCAATGCTCTTGAGCTAACAGTCACCACCTTCTCGGCGCACACAACCCTCTTCTCGCGTGGCCCTGCTACATCGGCCTTTGGCCGTACGCGTTTGTCCTGCGGCAACAAGTTCGGTCTTGAGACATGCCAGGGCGGGAAAGCACGGCATAGGCGACTCACATCAGATAGTACGGGCGAATGCGGGGGTTCTGGATGGCATCTCCATGACAAATAGCTGTACCTCCTCGTGCTTCCAACCCATAATCTCCTTGAGGATGAAGAGGGCGAACCCTTCGAGGCTCTCGTCCAGGAAGGCGAGGTTGTATGCCCCAATCTGCTTCATCTTGGGGTCGCTGCTCCAGGAGCCGAGGGGAACCTGGTAAGTGTGTTCGACGAGGCCGGTGAAGCCAGCCTCGAGTATGAGCTTGCGCATGGTGCGGCCACCGCCCTTCCAAAAGACCTTTGCCAGCGCTTGAAGATATGCTCCGGATTGTCCCGCTCCTCGGGGGCGTCGCTGTGCAGGTGGATCCTGAGCTCAAAGTCCTCGAGCCAGCCGCCGGGTTCCAGGGCGCGGAAGACCTGGCGGTAGAGTTCACCCCAGTCGCTGATGCTGCCGTACAGGGCGCGCAGGTGGACAAAGTCGAGGATCTCTGGGCGGCAGGTCCACTCGAGCTGTGCATCCTCAATGTGGAAGGTGCAGTTAGGCGGCACCCACGGGGGCTGGATCGGCCATGTCGATGGCCCAGATGCCGGTGGCGGTGCCGACGTCGAGGACGCGCTCGGGGTGGTCGACGGGCGCTGCGGAAAACCGGTCGCCCTTGAGCATCACCATGAAGTGGTGGGCGATGTCGAGCCCGTCATTCTGCCGGTCGTCGTTCGGACCCCAGTACTCCGTCGTCTTGGAACTCTAACATGTGCGGCCGTGGATGCTGCGGTAGTCAAAGATGCTCTCTGAGAGCGACGCGGTTGACAAGACGCTGGAGGACCACGCTAGCCGGGCTGCAACGCAAGCAAGTCCAAGTGTCTCCCGCTCCTCACCTTCCACCATCAAGAAAAGCCGAGTCGCCGCCGTCGTCGTCGTCGTGGGGAATCTGGGTCTTGATTGGAGCGTCTGGGGACGGCCCCCAAGCCGGGTCGGCCGAGGGAGGTGAAGAGCTAGGGGCCGGCCCAGGCGACGGGTCCGCGGCGCTTCGCTTGGGCGATTTATGCTGCAGATGGCCGGCGCGAGCAGTGGGCATCTCCACCGCAGCGCTACCTGAGCCGGTAGACGGGTATTATCTATCAACTTCCGCGAACAATCCGAATACACTTTGGTCGACAACAAGAAATGATCGAATGCAAACTCTTTTGATGATGCGGACAAGGTCCAAGTGCTCTGTGACCTGACAGAGCAGTTACTCCGGGATGAAGGTGTCATATCCCAGATGCGTACTTAGCTTCTGCGTTCCGTCGAGGCTGACCTGCATGGGTGTATAGTGAAACAGTGCGCTGGCGTTGATACATCCAGGAGAGGCTCCGTTTCTTTGGCTGTCGAGAAGTGTATTAGCTCGCTCTTCCTCGACCGAAAAAAACGTTTCACCGCGCCCCAGTCGAGGATCCGTCGGAGGCCTTGGCCCAGTGAGGGCGCGTTTTCTTCCAGCGTGTGGCCGATTCGGCATATGCAGAGGTCATCGGCATATCAGGAGCGGCGTTCCGTGTCGTGGAGCAGCATGTCCACCATGTAGAGCAGAAACAGGATGGGCGAGAGTGGGGAGGCCTGCGGCAGTCCACACTTGATCCTGGAGACTTCGGTCGTTTTGTCTTCCAGGCGGACGCGGGCTTTTCTCTCCTGCATGAAGGAGTTGACGAGTCTGGCCAGAGCGAGCGGCCATGCTTGCCGCAGCATGCAAGCACCAGGCGTCGTCGCAGCGTCGCGTCAAAGGCACCTTTCACGTCCAGCGGTACCAATGAGGCTGTGAGCCTTGTCTCGAGTGCATGCTCAATGTCGTGTGTGAGGCAGGCAAGGAGGTCGGTTGCTGAGCACTTCGGTAGAGCACCTGCCTGCTGTGGGCTGAGCGCTCGGCGACGGACGGCTGTCCGTGCGACTCTTCTTGCCACCAGCCTCTCAAGGCCTTTGCCAGGACAAGAGAGCAGAGGGATTGGCCTCCAGGAGCAGACCTCTGTCAGGTCCTTCTTGCCGTTCTTTCTTAGCATTACCATGTCGGCCGTCCGCAACGGCAGAGGGTGGTGACCGACTTGTAGACAGGCTTCAAAGAGGCGTCGGACTGGCTCTTTAATCTCGCTCCAGCAAGCCTGACCGCGATTCCGTCGATGCCGGGCGATTTTCTCGTCGTCGATATTGTGGCTGCGGCAAGCTCTTCGTGTGTTATATGGGGGTGCCAGGGGATGTCGTCCTTGCGCGTAAACGGGACTGTGAGAGGGTCATAGTCCAGGTCGTCATCTTCCGACACTCTCTCAAGGAGAGCCTTCCTTTAAGCGCGGGCTTTTCCCATGGTATCCTCGATGACTTTACCGTCGACAGCCAGGGGCGGTGCCTTGGTTGCCGGGCCCAGCTTGTGCCAGTTCACGACCTTGTATAGGTCCTGGTCGGATTTAACGGAGTCGATCCGCCGGCGCCAGTAATTTCGTTTCTCCTCTCGAGCGATCTTGAGGAACTGCTCTATTGGCCAGCTGGCCACGGACGTAATCAATTCCTGAGTGTATATGATTTAACTCCCGTGCTGCCAGGGTATGGTCTGACGAAGTAGCCCTGTGGGGTACATCGCAGTCAGGAGGGGCGATCCCTACACAAGCATCCACGGGCGTTCGATGGAGACCACCGGGATTCTTTGTTACGCCAAGTATGGCCCACATAACTGACCTAGACGTTTATCGATTTCCGCCATTGGAAGGTCGCTCGACGGGTATAGATTCGCGCCATCCAGTGTCAAGATCTCGGTGTACGGTGGCGGCGGTTGGGGAGGATCGTGCCGCGAATCGACCTCAATGTGAGGCACGTGGTCTTCTAAACCGTAGTTGGGACGGTCACTGGTTAACCCTTGCCAAGGCGCGATAGTTGCCAGAGAACCAGGCTCCGTCCACGAAAACTGGTAATTGGGCTGGTCCGGGAAAGAAAAGAGCTCATCGAGAGATTGTTGCTCATACTTGCCGAGGCTTTTGTAAGGAATTCTCTCGATGGCAAGCTGCCAGGGCGGAGGGCCCCACACCAAGAGCTTCGGTAGCACGTGAGATAGATTGCACAACTCTTCCCCTAGATTTGGTAGGCTTGTTGCGATTTGGTTAACGAACTCGTCGACAGCGGGATCGTTGATGCCGTTTAGACTTCCTATCCGTGAGAAAGCAAAGAAAAATTTACGATCAGGAGGGAGCATACTCTGAGTATCGGAAGCGAAGACGGAGAAGGATCCCATAACCGTATCGTCGGACAGCCGCGGCCAGCCTGTCCCCTTTGCGAATCTCGTAGTGGATTGACCATCGTTTGCCTTTGAGCAACGCTGCTGCCTCCTCTGGAGTTCTGCCCGCCCTCGCTGTCCTCATTGTTTCGGGGAAAATTCTATCGACGAACTCGTCCTTTAACATGTTTAAAGTACCGTTCGACACTGCGTCGTTGCGTCTTGCTCGATATTCCTCTGACGCGAGGACGAGGAAGAACTTCTCTGCTATAATGTTGTAATGCCTTTCAGACTTCGACATATTGCGAAAAGCCTTATAGTATTCCACTTGTTGCCATAGAAAGTCTAGTGTAGAAGCAGCTGCTGCGTCGATAGGTGGCTGTTTGTCAAATCGGTGTCGAGCATAACCGCAAACATGCCAAACGCCTTCAAGGAGACTGAGACGCGATATGTTCGCTCGTGCTACCGCTTGGCCTATTCTCAGTGATTGTGACGCCCGTTGTTTGTCACCTTGGCCAGGTGCAGCTGCCGACTCAGACTGGTCTTCGGATGCCAATTGCACTCTTGGCTGGATACCCTGAATACCGGCAGTTTTGTCTTCCAGAACGCCGCTTGCCCGGATTTGGGACTGACTATTCTCGTCGCGTCGGCGACGCTTCAGTGGCCGTGCCATCAGTGTCTCCGCAGCTGTAATTGATGTGTCAGACGCGTTTGCCCCGCTCGATATGCTCGCTGCGCTCGATGCGCTGGGTTCGTTCGATGCGCTCGATGTCTTCAATGCAGTCGACCATGTGCTTGACGTCTTTGATGTGCTCGATGCGTTCGATGTCTTTGATGTCTTCGATGTCTTCAGTGTCTTTGATGCCCTCGATGCCTTCGATGCATTCGATGCCTTCGATGCCTTCGATGCCTTCGATGCCTTCGATGCCTTCGATGCCTTCGATGCCTTCGATACCTTCGATACACTCAATCTCGATGCCCTCAAGGGGCTTAATGCATCTGATGGGTATAATGGGTTCGGCGGGTTCGATGGGTTCGACGGGCTCGACGGGTTCGATGGGTTCGGCGGGTTCGATGGGCTCGATGGGCTTGATAGGCTCGACGCTACTCGGTGACAGTGTTCTGGGTCACGTATGTGTATTGCTCTCTCGCGCTGACGATGCGAGACAGCACAGTTGCCGCAGGCCAATTGCCCCCGGAATGCCTTGAATAACCCGGAAAAGCGGCAGAGATTCCAACCGAGGGACTAATTCTGTATTACATAGGTGGACAAGAATATTGGCACGCTCTATGCGGGGGACGAATCATTCAAACCTCGGGTGTTGAGTTGATCATCTTTTGCTCGAGC